TCTAAATAATATTTATTGTAGATAATAATATTTAATTACTATAAACAAATTTGTTTGTGCTTGTGTGTGCGTATGCGTGTGTTTGTATCGTGTGTGTGTGTGTATATATGTGTGTGAATTAATTGCATTATATATTCATATTTATAAAGTATACTTTGGCTCAAATGAACTACCCTAAATTATTCTTCGTATCTTATTTTCTTTTTGCGGTTGCCTGGAAGAGGTCGCTTTTAAGCGATAAAGCCGCCATTTGCTTCGCTCTTGATCTCTGTTATTCTTGTATGTTCTATTGTTGTGCAATAAAGTTTATTATTATTAAAATTGTCATTAGTTTAAAGCGATATTACCGATACAAATTTGACATTCATTCGAGCTTAAATGCGTCATTAAACCTTAATGAACGTTTGTGCAACTGACCATTCGTTTCTTAAGGCAAAAAAATACAATAAAACCCGCCTGCGTGAAAAACAACCTACTGAAAAGTCGCGAACAAAATAAAAAAAAAGATGCAACTTATCAACTAATCCTACTTATCATGCAGCCGGAGGCATGAAACTGATAAGTCAAATCAGTGTCTCTTTGTGCATGCCTCAGACTGCATTTAGTTGCATAAGTTTTATCGTTTTTCAGCCTTTTCAGTTGTTTTCACGGAGGTGGCTTTTTTGTTTTTTTTTTATTATAATTTTATTTATACCATTTTAGCTAGACAAATTACCTGGCTGCCTTGTAGTAGGTATTAGGGTAATAATAATCATGATATACCTTTTTAAAGTCCTTGTATTGAGTCCTTTAATTTGATACCTATATTGTAGTATTTGAAAAAGAAATTAATTAAATACAATGACGTCACACAGTTGCCATATTGGATTAACGTTATCTATCTAAGAAGACTTGGGCTACTAAAACAAATCTAACGATACCTCAATTAACTAAATCCGAAGCTGTTCTGAAGTGGACAATAAATATTATTATTATTATATGAAGTAATAAAAATATTACATACATACAATATACGCGAAATACACATAACCCTTCCTTTGCAGTCGGGTAATAAGTGTTCGCGACTTCAAAGAAATCTGTTTTAAATTTGACGAATCATTTTTTTATGAGCAGTGTTTACTGTCAGTTGCGGGTGGCCAGTACAGTGTAACTGGAATGGCAGCGAGATCCTAGTGATCTCCAACCGAAAACACGATTGTCCTCGAGGCTATCTAGTCGGAGGGCATCGCTAGGGGCGTCTCCACTCTGCCGTAGAATCGCCCTAAACTCTGTAAAGGCTCGGACTCTAGTTACGCTGTGTCTTGGAGGGCGGAAAGAAACGCCTAAGTATGTGTCTGTACCTGGTGTATATCGGACTGTGTAGACCGGGCCGTCACACTCCGGTCCGGTGAGTGCGTCGTCGCGGGTCTATCGTAAAGTGTGTGTTTTGTGTATTGTCGAGGGGGGTTACCCAGAGTAATTGGATCATCAGGATCGTCGAGGATACGTTAACAGCATCACCTTGTTGCCAGTTAACCCGGGTTTTTTCGTAAAAAATCACGAAATATCACAAGGGTGGAGGGGGGGGGCGTAGTAATATATCACGTGTATTTATTTTTCCCTCAAACGGGCGATTTCTAAACCGAAAAGCGGCGTCAAAGTTAAGATTTTTTGTAGGTACTAAAAATACACGTGATTTGGGTGGAGGGGGGGGTGTTCTTAAACCTCACCATGTATCACCAAGTGCAGGGGGGGTTTAAAAATGCTGAAAAAAAACATCACGTGTATAATGGACGGCCCCTTAGACGCAATCATTTAGCCGTTTAGTAAGGCCAGCTACAGAGAATACACCTTCGCTAGGTGTGCTTGTAACTGGTACACATAAAACCCCTTTAGCTAGAGTAGACAAATAAGAGTAAGTATTGAATTTATGGTTTCTGCCAAGTTCTTCTTGTAAACGAGTGGAACATTAATATAACAAGATTTCGGTCTGTTGCATAAACATCCATTAAGGCTTAATGACTCCTTTAAGCTCTAATGACAATCAATTTTTTATGGGTAATGTCGCTATAAACTAATGACAATTTTGATGGACGTTTGTGCAACTTACTGATGGAATTACGGCCGGAATACGGAATCGAATGAACGAACTTATGCCGCAATGAGCTAATATGTCGCCGCCGCGCCGCCGCAGGAGCTGGATGCATTCACTACGTTGCTTAGCAACCGAGCGACCGAATGTTACTCCCAGTTTGCGCCATCCCGCGCCGTTTTCACTGATTTTCCTAACCGGTCAGCGACGGCGTGTCATGATCGGCGGCGTCGGTCATGGGCGCGGCGCAGCGCATACGTCTACTACATACCTACGATACGAATTAATTTAACACTTATTCCTATTAGTAATTTGTTGAGCTTACAGCAACAAAAAAAAACCGTAAAAGAAACGGATAAAAAACGCAGGCTTATCAACTTAGGGCTTTTAGCCCTAAAAAAATAAATAAATTAATAATAAAAAAATCAGGTAATGTCTGAATTACCCATTAAATCTTTTTATTTGGTTTAAAATAAATTAACCATCATTGTTTACGACATATAAAAGAACTTTATTTTCTCTTCGAATCCGACAATGGATGAAACGTTAAATTATTTGATAAACAGGTACCAATTGTTCATTATATAGAAGCAAATGTTTAGCTGGACGTGTGTGTATGTCTGTAGGCTACCTATATAGTATATTGCTATGGCTTCAATATGACATTTTTTAATCTATTTGATTTTCTGTAGTTTTATTTTCGTGTCAAAACCAATCCGAAAAAAGTAATAACTTTTTTTGGATTGGTTTTAGTCATAAAACATAGTATGCTTTCTGGCTTCGTTCATCAAATAGATTCGTCATCGGATGCTTTAAAGTATTTAAGTCTATTTCGCACAAAATGTTCTATGATTATATAAAATGTGCTTGGCCCTTCTCTTCTTAGTGAACTAGTAGAAAAGACAAGAGAGTTTCGTGTATTAGAGTGCGTTTTTATTCATCTAAAAAAAAAACAAATAGTCACCTTTTTGATTAACAAAATTAATTGAATGCGATTCAAGTAATTAATACTAAAAAAATATTAGAAAATAAAACTGAGGTCTATTTTAATCACCTTAATAAAACAGATTTTTTTAAACTATACCATTAAATCTGTGGGTAATACAAGTAGGACAACGCTTTTTTTGGGGCTTTTGATTACACCATTCAGGGCTATTTAGGGTTATTTGAGTTTGGTTTTGGGGTTTTATTTTGTTGGGAGTTGGTAACACTGAAAAAACGTCATTCTAGGCAGAAGGTATGTTAATTTGTATGAAAACCTAGCTATATATTTCAACAAAACTGATTTCTAGAGTAGGTTGAGTGGGAATCTATTATTGTAAGAACCAAAAAGCACGTACCCACCGTACAAATGAACACCTGGCTCGATGTCCGATACGTGTCTTTGTGAATTTCAGTTTTTTAATATGTTAGTTAAAAGGAACAGAAATTACTATCTATTGTCCATTATTGCCTACTAAATCTAAAGTTGTCATCTAGTGGAGGTGCTTTTTTAATGCTTTCTTTTTTTTAATACTTTCTCATTATTAGTCTGTGGCTGGCAGCATTTCATAGATGCTGGCTAAAGGCCAAGGAAGCCAGAGCCGGTAAAACCTTTTTGGAAAAAAATCATAGATGCTGGCGTAGCGGCTAGAGATGGACGTTTAAACGAAAAGCACTTAATTAAGCTCGCTTTTCTAAATAAGTGCAAAAGCGCTTTTTTTACTTAGAAGAAAAGTATGCTAATGCTATTGTACGTCCCGTCATCTATCAACAAATAACTACTAGCTTCAATCAATTTTTCTGATCCCGCATTTTTCTATTAGAGGGCAGCACTTTACATATCAATCAATCAATTAATCATTTATTGCATAAAAATATGGTGTAACAGATGTCATAAAAAAAGGGTATCACATATTTACTGTTTGACAGTGTGCAATAGTTTTAGTAGATATATAAATTTACATTTTAATCTATTCATGCATTAACTATGATATTATTTTATTCGCACATCATTAACTTAAAAACATTTCATTCAGTTCCTATTACATATTATTTCAGTCTTATAGTTTAAAAATAATTAATAGTAATAATGTCAAAATTCGATCAATTTATATGTTACAAAAATAATAAGTCAAGTATGCTTAATATATAAATCCATGTCAATTACAAAATATTTTTATTATACACATTATAAAATATGTCATTGTATATAATTTATTTATAGTGTCGTTGTATATAATTATTTATTTATTTATAAGCGATTTTTACTCTACTAAAATTGCACTGTATTATATATGTATTATACTATAACGCGTGATATCCATCTCTTTGGTTGGGAAATTACATTTGGTTTAGTTTGGGAAATTACATATATTTACTTTTTGGTTGGTTAATCCAAACGCTTTATTAAACAGAACTTAAAAAATCAATACGCTTTTCGTTGTTGAAGTAAGTGCACGTTGTATTGTATGTTAATTAATTACGTAAGTTGAATAGTATGCGTAAATAAATTGCTACTTAAGTAATGACTTTTGTTTATTCCTAAATAAACAATGTAAATAAGTTTTGTTATTAGGTGATGGTGTGTATTATTGAACTGCATTCGTTTTAAGATTGTGTAAATAAAATGTTGAAAAACGGTATAAGTATTGTATTATACATAAAAACCTTCCTTTTGAATCACCCAATCTATGAAAAAAAATTCATCAAAATCCGTTGCGTAGTTTTAAAGATTTAAGACAGAGAAAGCGACTTTGTTTTATACTATGTAGTGATAACACAACGTTGCACGCTTATTATAACGATTTCCAAACGTCAGTTGAAAAAAAGCGTTTAAGAAATAAACAGTTTTTTAAATCGCTTTTTAAAAATCGTACAACGCTTAAAAATTTTAAGCAGTTATTTCCCCCTCTAGGAGCGGCATAGCGTCGTTCGCTCTCTTTTTTCGACAAATCGGCCATATTTGTTAATAATAGTAGGCTGTCAGTTTGGTCAGTTGTGGAATGCTTTTAGTTTCATGCTAGTAATTTACCTTGTGGTTTAATTTAATAGTGTAGTTCTTAATTTAATTATCAGTAAATATAGTTTGAAGAGGTGTGTTGAAGAATAAAAAAGATGCAGTCTGGTAGCGGGACAAAAAATCCGCCATGGGCCCGGCCAAATGTAAATACAAATCTGACCGGCATGAATCCACAAATCATGGATCCTAATGCTATGATGACTCAACAAGGAATGATGCAGTTTCAACAAACTCCAACGGTATTTAATCCAAGTATGATGCAAGCGCAAGGAGGCATGGCGATGCCTATGGCAGGGCAAATGCCAATGAACCAAATGGCTCAAAGTCAAATATACCCCGGTAATGTAGTGGCGTACCCTACACCACGTGCCATGAATCCTGGTATATATCAGAACTCTCAAACAAACCAATCTCAATCCTCTAATGAACAGCGTGTATTCACTGGAACTGTTACAAAAACTCACAATGACTTCGGGTTTGTAGATCACGATGTCTTTTATCAGACTTCGGTCTGCGCTAAAGGTGTTATTCCTAAAGTTAATGATCGTGTATTAGTTGAAGCCACTTATAACCCTAACATGCCTTTTAAGTGGAATGCAACTAGAGTACAGGTTTTACCCAAAAGTGGACCTAATCAAAAACCTAACAACAATCAAAAAACCAACTCTTATAATGCAGTTCCACCTCCATCAAACAAGAAAACTTTACCACCTCGCCGTGAAGAAAGACCAGCAAGACGAGAAGAACCAAGGGTTAGTTGTTTGTAAACATTTTTTTAATTTATCTTGTTTGCATAAATCCTTATGGAGTGAAAAATATGCAACATATCAATGGCCTCAATATATGAATAATAATGATTAACTATTGTCTAAATTCTCACAGAAACGATCTCGTAGTAGGAGCCGTTCCCGTTCAAGGCGTGACAGTAGAAGTCGTAGGGATTCACCACCCCGTAAACGTCCTGTAGTACATCAGCCTTCCCCTTTTAAATATGTAGTTCGAGTGCCTCGTATGCCATTAGACATGTAAGTAGAATGGTTGATTTTATTATAAATTCATTCCTATATTTAATTTAATTATGTGTGTATATTGACAATTAACAACCACTTTCAGCCAAAAAATTGATGTTCCTGCATTATCACAAAGGTATTCTAACTTGTATGTTCCTTCAGACTTTTTTAATGCCAATGTGAAATGGGGTGAAACTTTCCCACCGCAGTATCCATTTTCTTTAAATAACCCATGTGGATATCATATTATGGCAAGGGAACTTGAAAATCCCAATGAAAATATTGCTGTTTTAGAGCCCCCAGATGCAGACTACAGGTTTTCAGCTAAGGTAAACAGGACTTGATTTATACTTATGTTTTACTAATTAATTAATAGTAATTCATTAAACTAAGTTATTAATTTCTTTTGAAGGTAATGCTAATAAGTATGCCAACATTGGAGACCTTGTATCAAAAATGTGGCCTAACAAAAGTGGATGAAAAAGATAAGCGCCCAAGTAAATCACCATTGCACCCAACAAGACTTATTAAATTCCTTGTTGGCCAAAAAGGAAAAGGTGGTGAGAATTTTGCTATCGGAGGACCATGGAGTCCCTCATTAGATGGTGAAAACCCACAATCCGATCCAAAGGTTTTAGTGAAAACTGCCATACGTACTTGCAAAGCTTTAACAGGCATTGATTTATCTTCTTGTACACAATGGTAAGTTTTATTTTTATTACACATAACATTGGTGATTCAACCTTATACTTGTTCTCCTGGCTAACAACATTTGAACATAACATTGGTCAAAAGTTTCGTTTCTGTATTCTTAACCTAAGTTAGGTTGTCATTGTATTGCAGCTTTTTACTGTGGTGAAACTTTTGTCCCTTGTTTTGATATTAGTCATGGTATGGTACACATTCATTATAAATGTGAGAGAATATGAAGGTGTTAATACATCATCCATGGTGGGACCTGTTGGATGCTGAGATGTACCAATCTACAATATCGCTGTTTTATTAACTCTTACCGGATGTGTCGTGTCCATGTGTGCAGTGGGGCGGCCAGCGCGACCAAGCGCTTGTGAGTATTCGACTATAACTGTATTACCCGCGCAGGTACCGAATGGTGGAGTTTTACTACTGGCGCGAAGGCAGCGCTGGCAAGTCGAGGCTCGAGTGTGTGGTGTTGTTCCTGCCCGACGTGTGGTCTGCACAACCATCACGTATTGAGTGGAGCAACGTTCAGGAGCAATATGCCACTGCGTGTGAAAACGCCTTAAGGAAACTCGAAAACCCGGCGGACGCAGAGTCCGGCGACGGCGACGCAGCCCCATCGCCGGCAACGGCAGCGCCGCCCTCGGTGCCGGCGGCTGCGGAGGCGGACTCCGCTCCAGCAACAGAGATATCACAAATTGTTTGTTCCCAGTTTTGTTTGGTTATGTTTCCGGCTGCGCCTGCTACTAAATTGAAGATCTCGACCGTGCCGCCTGACTCCATTCCATTTGTTGGATGTTTTACACGCATTCAAATATGGATATCAATATATTTTTCTACTTATTTTGTCCCAAATAGGAGTCGTATCAATAAATTTTACAATTGTGCTTTTAAAATAATTGCAAAATTTAATTAATTACAAATCCTTTCTTGCCTATCCAATGTTAGCTTAGATAATATGAATAATTAACAATTTTGACATACTTTTTTAGGAAAATGCTGATGCCAATAGTACTATAACAATTGATGAAAATGATGATGAAGAAGTGAAACCTGAGCCGACTCATTATTCCAAAATAGATCTAAAGACAATAAAAGTTGATCAGCTAAGACAGGAGTTGCGGGCACGTAATGTTAGTTGTAAAGGTGAGATAAAAAATATAAAAAAATCTAATCTATAATAACTCCATTGATGTTGGTTTCGATAATATGTAATTGCGTTTTAGGATTACGAGGTCAATTAGTATCTCGATTATCGAAACTTATCAAAGCAGAAGAAGAAAAGGAGTCTAATAAAAATGACGACGTCATGGAATTAGAAGAAGAAGACCAAGAGAAAAAGGAATCTAAAGAAGAACGAAATGAGGTAGAAGAAGTAAAAGAGGTGCCTGAAACAAAGGAAACTGAAAAAGAAATAGAGGAGAAAAAAGATAATAAAGAAGAAGAGAAAAAAGAAGAACCAAAGGTAGTTGAGAAAACAGAAAAAGAGTTGGAGGAAGAAAGAAAAAAGGTAAATGACAAAATTTTATCATATATTGTATATTTTATAATCAAAAGAGTTTCCTAGCTTAATATTAGAATCAATGAGAAATCTAATCAACAAGAACACATCATAAAACTTATGCTTTGAAAGAAACAAACACTTTATCGAATGGTACTACAAGGGTTGGTCATGGTTCTCTGAAAAACCTGTTCTCAGTGGGTCATGAATAAGTTTATTAATTCCCAACAAATTTTTTTCCAACCTTTCCTGGTCCTTTGGCGATGGTTGGTAAAACAGAATATGCTGCAAAGTGCTAATCATTTGTAGGACCATGGGAAATTACATATATTTACTCTTAGTCCCAATAACCCATTATAGCAAATTATAGGCACTCCCAGTTAATATTTAAAAGATAATAGAAAGTGAATGAAGATAACATACTACTACTACAAATAAAAATTATAACACAAACCAGTAATAGCAATAATTAGATAAATTATGTATTTTGATATCTAGCTTGAAAAAGAGAAAAAACTTTTGAAGACCCGGTATGAGCTACCCAGCACACCACATATAATTGTACATCCCTCGCAGACTGCCAAAGGTGGCAAGTTCACTTGCAATGTAGCTACACTATCCCTGCTTCTTGATTATAGAATCACTGACAACAAGGAACATAGCTTTGAGGTATGTATTTAAATCCTAGACTTAAAGCTATTTAAAAAATGATCTTTGAGAGATAATAAGTTAGAAACTTATACACATTGTAGCATTCTTAATGTTGTTTCGTATGTGTGTAAGTTGTTATTGGTCATATTTCCTATTTAATTCTCTGGAAATTCAATCTGTACATTACTTGCAGCTTTTCGTATTTGCCGAGTTATTCAATGAGATGTTGATGCGTGACTTTGGATTTTACATCTACAAAACCCTTTATACCCTTCCTGAAAAAGCAGAAGAACCTAAAGAGAAAGACAAAGATTTAAATGATAAAAGTTCAGACAAGGGAGAGAAAGAGAAGAAAGAAGAGAAAAAGGACGAGAAGGAAAACGATAAGAAAGATGAGAAAAAGGAGGAAAGGAATGACCGTCGAGATGACAAGCGGGACGGTCGACGTCGACGTGTAAGTTTTTGATATTTTGCTTCTGACCATTTAGTTACAAATACGTTTAAATTTACATATTAGAGTGTTTTACTGCAATTTATTTGAAAATAATAAATAATAGGACTATAAGGTTCAGTAAATACAGGGACAGACAATTTAAACTTCTTCCGAAAATAAATCTGTTTGTAATGAAAAATGCTTAAAAAAATCCACTTTGTCCTTGGCATTCTGAGATGGGACTCGAACCCGTAACCTTTCGCGACTTTAACATCGCATTCAACATTAAGAATATTTTTCAGTATATGGCATTGTCAATGCAAAATTGATCATATAAATACCTTTGTGATAATTAGAGCGATTTTACGTTGTTTTTTTTTAACAGGATTCACATAGCGACGATGACCGTAGCAGCTCACCTCGACGCCGAAGCCGTGGCGTCGAATTGCCACCGGACCCATACTTACTTCTATCCCTTGTCTACTTTGACACTGCTCGTGGAGGGGTTATCTCCAAGAGTGATTTGCAGAACCTATTCATGAGTCTCGGGTTGGCTCTCTCCCGCTCCCAAATCAGAGTTGTACTGGAGAAAGTGTGTGTGAAAGAAAACTTTAGTTACAAGTGAGGACATTGCTTATTATATTCCTTTGTCATTGCCCTCAGTCAAAGATAAAAATGTATATTGATGCTAGAAAATTACAAGTAACCGTCTGTCTTAAATTTTTTAAGACTGAGAACTTTCATCACAATTTTTTTATGTTACGTTTTCTTTTAGTAATGTTATTATTCTATTTTGTGCAGAAATCTCATCCAGGCTATAAAGGATTTAGCATCGGGCACCCCAGAAGCCATTCAAGACTTACCATTGGAAACCACCATATCCACTACTGAAGTTCCTTCTCATGTATGTATTCCGACAAAATAGCAACTTACAAATTAATTGCACTATTTCTTATTTTCAATATTATATTCATTTATTTTTATTATTTAGATTGCTGACCTTGAGGCCGCTATTGCAGCAGGTAACAGAAATCTGTTGCCAGTGTTCAATAGACCAAATGATGGTGATGAAAAAAGATCTGAAGAAACTAAAGATATCAGTGATTCTGGTAAGTTATACTTAAAGCAAAAGCCTATTTGTGTTTAATGCCCGTTTTCATTAAACTTAAGAGTCGATTAGATCTGTCGCCTGAATATTAAGGCATCGTCTAAGATGAAAATGCATTTTACCAATGACTAGGAACCACCTAACGACATAGATCAATGTCGAGTTATGATATGCGTTATGCGGTGCCCAGCACTAGTTATTTCATTGTTAGGACAGATCACAAATATTTCTAGTAATAAAAGAAATACATATGTTTATTAGGAAATAAACTAATCTGCTTAAGCGATTCGTAAGATTAGGCGTTTCATAGTTAATTTGTTAACTATGCCTTGTTCTAGGTTAGTAAAAGAGGTGTGAATTACTCCTCATAATTACAATACAATAGGGTACATTTTTTTTTATTGCATGATGACATTTTTATCATAATTCCATTTCAGACTATGTTTTTTGTAAATGTTATTGTTTTAAATGTAGTGGACTGTAATCTATACTCACTTTTTATTTGCATTCCTCATCACTTGGACCACCGGCAAGAAGTGTCCGTCAATGACGGTCCTGAAACAGCAGTATAAAAATGAGTGAACCAATGTCAATTTTACCTAATGGATGATTCAAAGCGCTGATGATGAAATTTTTTTTTTTTACGTAGGCGTGGTTATGTACAAATCTCGTGTGATCGACGTGGGAGCTTTAGTGGCGGCGGAGGCTCGCGGTTCAGCTCATCGCGCCAAACTCGAGTCGGCACTGGAACAAGTGCGGGCCGCTCTGAAGGCCGCCCGTGCAGCGGCGGTATCGACGCAACAAGCGGAGCGAGGGGCGCAGAACCAAGTTTCAGACCTTAGCGCTAACCTGGCGGCCGCGAGAGCGCGTATCGCCTCGCTCACGGTATGTACATATACAAACACGTAGTAACCCGCAAAACCAAAATTATTCTTCAGAGCAGAAAAACTTTTTTTTTCGATGAATAATACCTATAAACGTCCATGGAAACAAAAAAGGTGTTCCTTAGTCAATTTTATACGGAAAAAAGATATACTTTTTTGGAAAAATATAAAGATTTTCCCCTTTAAATATCTATTATGGTTTTATAATTAATACATACGTACACACAACACGGCAGCACATCAGGTCAGGTTAAATCAAATTTCCGATTTGATTTTGAAGTCTACTGTCATAATATTCAAGTTTATAATTGAGTGAAGCAGGGTTCGGAGTGATAATTATCATCGATAAATATACATTGATAATCTTAAAACACTATACAAACTAGACTTCAAAAACAAAGGTTTTTGAAGGTTTGTTATTAAAGGGGAATCATTTTTAAACAACTATCAAATTTGGTTTTTCTGATAGAGAAAATTGCCTAGGATGAACCTACAAAAATATTTAAAGCTCCCTTTTAAGATATTTTATTTATAATTTTGTTTAATGTGATTTAACAATTTTTTTTTTGTTTATTTTATTTGTATAATTTTTATAATTTAATCAAATAAAATAATAGTTTTTTCAATCATTAACGCCTTTGTGTATTTAAAAAAATGCTGCCAGTAACTATGGATAATAATCCAAAGTTATCCAAAAATATAATTATCTTGATAATTCGAAACCCTGCTTGTTGTACATTCAAGTACAATACTGCACATTCAAATATAAATGTCATGCTTTAGAAATAAATTATCATATAAGTAGAAGGATTTGTGTAGTGAACTTTAAATGTATAATTGTCTTATCTAATGGTTTTAAATGAAGTTTTTATGAAAGGTAGAATTATCTACTTTAATCTTTTTCAAGGGTTCACCAGGGTTATGTTTTACTATATTAATGGCTGTATACGCGACATGTAGCGTAGTACACACGTAGACTAGAGTTTCCGAGACTAGAGAATTCCGAGGTCCATTGTATTGCAAGTTACCGCATATTTTTTTCCTATCTCGTGTTACGGGATTACATGCGCTTGATTTGCGAGACTGGAAAGAAACATGCACACGACCTATCGGGTAAAATGACCAATCTAAATAATTAAAGTCTTAATTGCTTTTGTTAATGTTCAGTTTTACTGATATATTTTGCAGAAAGATCTTTTTTTCAGTGTTTATTTCAGTTTTCGGTGTTAAATAAACGGTCTTATTTTATTGATCTCATGCTCATAGTAAAACTTCAACAAATGTGAAGTTATGTTGATTATTTTTTTGTTTTATTTGCCGTATACGAATCGCAATATTTTCTATATGCGGTATTCCGTAAATACCGAGATCGCGCAGGATAGATTATTCCTAGTCTCGCAAATACCGAGATTGAATATCACACGTGCCCTCACAAAATTTATTGATACTAATTTTGTGAGGGCGTGATGATGAATGAAAACTCGATGATTCCTCATTCAAAAAATATGCATTACTGAATTTTCTGAACCTTTTTCACGTATTGTTTTTAGTTAACTTATTTTTATGACTGGTTTTATAAACATTGTTTCAGGCGAGCTCAAAAATATTCCATTCCACTTTGAAGAGTATACAGTCGAAGGTAGAAGCTGTCGTCAATATTAAATACGAGGACGACGATGTGGTTGAAATCGTCAATGGCCCCGCAAAGTAAGAAGTCAATTTCTTAAATTACTATAAAATATGTACTTTGAAATGTAGTCCCAGTTATATATTTTATTTATTTATTTATTTTTAATATTGCTATTTGCGATCGGTTGCAAGACCATAAGCGAATTTGTTGATGTAGATGGAGATTCTCCAGTTATAATTTAAATAAAAATTTATTATAGGGTAGAAAAAACAATGAAGAAAGAAACAGTTGCTGAAGAAAAACCGGAGACAAAAAAAGTAAACGAAAAAGAAAAACTTGAAGAGTTTAAAGGCAAAGGAAGCGGATCTGAAACCAAAACTGAAATAACCAAGGATAAAGAATGTGATATTACGACATCAGAAAATATGGATATTGATGATAAAGAATAACTAACAATAATAATAAACTATGTGATAGTATCGTACAAATAAAATTCATCAATGTTTTGTCAAAAAAAGCTATATTTTTACATTGCCATCACATGCAGTTTATATTTAAGGGTAAAACAGCTGTTTTATTAAAACATTAATTTTAGCATTTAGCAAATTAAGTCTATCTTAAGATAAACTCTAGATTAGAACCCGATTATTTTATACAAGGATAAGTTATGTTCTCTCTTGATATAACTACTCCTATCTTATGGTAAATCGGAATAATGTCTTAAATATTGCAACGGATGTTTTGTATTTTGATAATTAAAAAAAAGTGAATCGTTTTCATTATTAAAAAAAACAATTATACATCTGTATAGACTTAATTTTTACTTATGTATTGTATAATTTAAGAGGAATGCAATAATAGAGACATTATGACAGCATTATAATGGTTTTATTTATTATATTTCCATAAACATTTCATAATCAAAAATCTTTGAAATATAAAAGACAGCAGGTGTTTATACCGTCCATTTTACATATCTTATGTGAATAATTATAAAATAAAAACATAAATAATAAGACATATACCTTAATCTAAAAACAATAATATATTGTAATTATACTACAACTTAACGCGATAAATTATTAAAAAGTTGCACTATTTTCATCGTTCCCCCAATAATGCTATCAAATAATTTGCAAGAATAAAACGATTTTAAAATTATACTAATTCTAATATACGAACATTTGAGGGTTGCGTCAAACTATTTGCTATAAGCGTAAAGTGGGAAGCGATGAGGAGCCCCACCACATCACGTAAAACAAAAAAAAATACAGTAAGATACAACTGATTTGGCACACTGAGGTACAACAGCGCAGTTTAAATATAGAGGCGAGGCAAATCCTGACCAATTGGTTCAAGATCGTAACCACGATCGTGTCAGAGAGCTATCGCGTTGCATTTTATTGAAACAACTCATAAATTTAAATCGTACGATCTTCGAATCGGTGGGTCTCTGCGCAAAATGATTCACAATGAACCATATTAGTTTTAACTTACCGGTTCCTATTAAAAACAAATATTAACGGTCATATTTGTCATTATTTCACGTTAACTATAAATTAAAAGTAAAGCTTAATAATATATACAGAGTTAATATTATATTTAAATACAAAGTAAACCTTAGCTAATATTATATCATTCAATGTAATATTATATTGGTCACCCAGTTCGTTATATTTTTCGAAAAGCATTTACAATAACACTATTCTAAAGCTAACAAGAGCTTATGAATAGACCGGCGTTACTTTTGTAATCGCTTTAGAATAGTACCTACCCGATGGTGAAATGAAAGAAAACGTATAAAAAACGCTGACAAATGTTTCTAGTCCGCCCAGGCAAAGTATCCCTGAGGTGATTACTTAATTACTTTATAGGTTTATTGATGTTGATAATTATTTTAAGATACAAAAAACAGTAATGCAGGAATATACTTCAAATGGAATACAATTTTACAGAAAAAATAATAGACGCAGACTTCTGCAACATGCATAGGATGATAAACGGCTGGAATCGCTCATTTGCGAGAAGAATGATACAGTTAAAAATAATGGCCTCCTAGCTAATTATGAAATAAAGGAATGCATTTTTCAAATGATTGGAATAAATATTTTTTATTTTTGTTTTCGAAATTAACGTCGAGTTTTAAAAAATTCACGAGTCGAATATGTTAATTTGTGTATTTAGGCTCAACACATGCTAGTCGAAGTGTTAAATATCTCACAAATAAAGTGAACTCGAGCGCGATGGTGGCTAGAACTTATTTCAATATTGTAAACATTGAACGTTTCTTTAGAGACAAAAGACACGACAATGCTTTCCAAGCTTCTCCAGAGCTTAAGAGAGGTCAGCAAAGGTTGCGCGCACTTTGACCTTTTTTAGGGTACCGTTTAAGAATCCTTATAGTTTCGTCATGTCCCGTCTGTCCGTTCATATGTCCGGTTTAGCTCAAAAATTATTGATACTAGAAAGTTGTAATTAGGCACGAGTTAATAACACCAACAAAGTGGTAACGTAAAATTTTGAAATTTTTTTTTAGGGATATCGTTGGATAGGTCTTTCAAAAATATTAGGGGTGTAAGAAGGCCGTTTTTCGATTTAGTAAACCGTCTGTTACTTGTTAGGCTTTGAAGAGCTAATTATCACTAGAGTCAAGTGTCCCCCTCCCTACCAACTAAACGGTGGTTGCTAAAAATTCAAACGTTACGGCAGTAGTACCTATATATAACGAAGTTAAAATGGAAACTATCACACTTAAGTTGGCTGCACAACATTACAAGTAATATTCGTCCAATTGTATTTAAATCGAAAATTTCGAACTCCATTGAAATCAAAGAAGCGTGATTTTTTTACTTTTTTTATTAATCACAGTACGGATTCCTTCGTGCACTAGTCCGACTCGCACATGGCCTTTTTTTATTTTACACAAAATATGATCATTATGTTCTTGAGATAACGATGAATTTTTTATATTGATTTTCAGATTAAGGCTGACTTAGCGCTAGTATGAGATGACCTTTAGTAAAAGTTTCTTTTTTAATTGTGTCATTATTATAGCAAACAAGTGAAATTGGTAGGATGTTATGAAGGATATATTTTTATTAAACGCATGGTTCAACGTAATTTCCGGGGAATAGTCCCGTGACACCGTCCATGACCCCCTCCCACCAGCCGTCATCGTTCTTCTTCAGCACATAGATCACAGCACTCTCCTGGAACGATAGCTCATCTTCCTTGTCAGCGTAGTAGTCGTATATCGCTACCACTGTTGACAGAATAAAGATTTCATTTAATATAAACCAGGCAGAAACTTCGTAGTGCGCCCTTCCTTTACCCCTCCCCCCTTCGCTTCAAATTTTTGCAGTGTATACATTTTTTTACCACCCAACAGTTTCAATTTTTGGACCAAATAGTTCAAGTTGAAGTGAGTAAACAAGGATTTCTGAATAACATAGCAAAAAATAACATATGAACGCTGGAAAGCAAACACGTTATAGGTTATTAAGCTATAAAGTGCAATTTTGGTTCTGCGTATTGCTACGTGTATACTTTCCAGCTTCGATATGTTCAAATATAAATACTTCTTTCAATAAACAAAACATACCACGACCACGCTGATTCTAGCCGGGATATATCACAAATATGGACGATATTTAAATTTTATTTTCAATATTGATCTCTGATTGCCGGAAATAGGTCCGAATTATATAGAAGCTGCTGAACTGCTTACCTTTTTCGATATAATTTTTCGGAACCCATCCAGGCAAATCCTCTTCATCTGGCACTATAGCCGGCACAGCGTTAGAATATGGCGCGTTCATCTTATTCTGTAAACAAAGCACTTACACTCGTATCTATAATCGAGAGACTTAATTACTTGAGAAGCAGAATAGAATACAAATGTCACCACACCTGCTCTTCCCGCGAGTGTCGTAAGAGTCTACAAAGGGACACACTAAGCAGAAAATGGGTAGAGCGCTCTCTCTTAAAACATATTTTTGATACTGCAATCTCTAATCCGCCTGCCAAGCGTAAAGATTATGGCAAAACCCTTCAGTAAAGTGGAGGAGGTCCTTAGTCCTGCAGTGGACTGTTGATGTTGATGATAATGATGTCATAACTTAGCAGATATCTTTACCAAATAAACAAGAATATGGATGAAGTAAGAGCTGCTAATGGTTGGAATACTAATATTATTAGCTATTAACAGTTCTCACTTCGTTCAAATTCTTATCTATTGGTTGAAAATATTTGCTTAAGTGATGACATTTTCTAGAGTAATAACTTTTTTCGACTATATATAAATGAGAATGAGTGTTAGTGTTAAAATATCTTATAGTCGTTCTTATAATAATTTATTACGTGGATGGAGTGAAATCACTTTCCGACAGTCGTTAATGTGTAAACCATATAGTATTAGTGTTTTACTTTTATTTAAAAGCCATTTCTAGCAATATAATGAAGATTGTTAAAATCAAATAAACTATACAAAAACAGACAATGTAATAATTTTATATTTAACTAATCCGCAGATATAATGTTTGTAAAGCAAAACTATTTGCAAATTGACTATTGCAATAAAAATAGAGCTATTGCTCTGTTTTAATACGTTTATAATAGTTTACAAACGTTTTAATTAAATTAACGAAACCGCACATGTTTTACTCATATTTTACAAAAATTTAATATTTACTATAAGAACGCAATATAAAGTGTAATGCTAGGCGTTCGCTTAGTTATAATTGACAAGGTGATCGGAGAGAAATCGTCCTGTGTTAATACGGGTGTAGACGGTAAATGAAAATGTATTTATTTTCGATACGAAAATGTAAATGTATACCGATCGTTAATGCGTGACGTCACAGTCCTGTACGGAAGCTGTCAAATTTGTCTTTGTCATACATTGTTGTTGTTATTATTTATGTTAGTTTCAGAAGGCTGTGACGTCACATCGACGCCATGACTGAGGTTGGCGTTCTAGCGGAAATTTTTGAAAATGAACTTTATTTTTAGATTTTAAATTAATATAGTGTTTATATATATATTTATTAATATATTTCGAGTACATCAATAAAGTATTTCAAAATCTACACCCGTATAATGAATATTGAATTCGAATAGTTTTTTTACAGTTAGTTGTTTTACATATTATGTCAATTCTATGTCAAACGTACATTAAAAAAGTTTATATTATCTAAAGCACTAAGGTGGAATGGAAATAATTTTACCTATATGGTGATTATAAATACACAAACGGCTCAAGAAACACCAAATGCGCAAACTCTTATTAAACGTAACTTATTTAACATATTTAAATGAAAGCAAGAGCAGATCTAGATATCCTTGATAGAGGACATGCTCTACACGACAAATAGCTTACACGATATCTGCTTATAGTTTGATACTGATTGCAGATGAACATAGATATGGTGGTTAAAATATTCTTAAATTTTCCACATATTTTTTTTTTCTTTGATAAAAACCTTCTCCTGACAATAACAAACACAAAAAAAACAGAATTAGCGAAATCGGTCCAGTTGTACACGTGTAATGGCGTGACCAAGGGAAATAGGGATTCGTTTATATATATATATATAAACACACTTCAGTTTCTTAGTCTTTCAAGGGTTTTACTAGTCCATAAATCTCTTCCAATGATCTATACTAATATTATAAAGAGGAAAATTTGATTGTATGTTTGTTTGTATTGAATAGGCTCCGAAACTACTGGACCAAGTTTAAAAATTCTTTTACCTATGAGTAGCTACATGAAATAGGGGGACATAGGCTATAATTTAGTCTCGGGACAAACTAATAACACCCCGTCGTTTTTGCATCGGGGGTTAAAAACAGCTAGTTTTTAATAAAATAATGTATGTAGTTCCATAACTAGCAATTGATTCTATAGAATAAAACCAAAGTGCCGGATAATATTGTATAATTTAAATGACAAATTCTTATAAATTAGAAATAAGTAAATAAATATTCTAATATTTATGTTGTACTAATATTGATGTTGTCTACAACATCAGTATAGAAAGTTCATTTTCTAAATAAATAATTTTCTAAACCCGACAGGGAATCGAACCTGGGGCTTCAGAAATGCGAACACCTTGAAACTTTATTCTTTGTTGATCGATCTATGCGGAATACATACATTGAGATGATGCGGTCGTCCGAAGGCATCATGTACCAGCTCGTCGTCCATAGGCGGAGGCGGGAGCGGAGGCGATACTGATCCGCCGCGTATTGACGCCCCACCAGTGGACGAAGACGAACCACGCTAACGAACATCAATTATAAGTTTAAAAATTCATCATCATCATCAGCCCTTTATTCCGTCCCCAGTGCAGGGGCTCAGGCCTTCTTTATGGATAGTTATGGAGCATGGGCCATGACCCTCCACGCTGGCCCAATGCGGATTGGCGGGTATTAACGACTACAAATCCAGCCGGGACCAACGGCTTAACGTGCCTTCCGGAGCACGGAGTAGCTTGAGATAATATTTTTTTGGTCACCCATCCCGTGACCGACCCTTTCGAAAGATGCTTAACGACGACGATCGCGTGCCGCGGCGCTGATTCACTACGTCACCGAGCTACTCATCTCGAGTTTTGAAATTGCGTTATTCTAAATGTTAGAAACTTACGCCGTTGGTACACCGACGCAATCGCATACGAATGCAAAACATTTGCGAAATCTTGTCGATTCGCAAATATTTCGCAGGTCGGTTCGCAGTCAACTGCGAAAAAGGTAGGTTTTGTTTTTATTTGTATACCCATGTATTTTGTTTTTCAAAGGTTACAGTCCTGTCATCATTCACATAGTTTCGCAGATGTTTCGCATTTGCAAGCGAATATGTCGGTGTACCAACTGTGTTAACACCGCAAATTTAACAAAAACAAGGACAAGCTGCAATATGTAATAGGTATTTATAATTCAACTTACATAAAAAAGAAAATCTTTTTCTTCCTATAAAAAATAGAACCGACTTCAAACTTTAAAAGTGAGAAACAAAACTTATCTCAACAGTGGTTCAAGTTTTACAAGAAACTTCAATTGAAATCGAGAACTTCTATTGATATAACGATATTTGTCATTATCATTTTTGATTAAAAAAAGATGTTTCTTCCTTTTTAGTGATACTTAGAAATTTAGAACCGCCTTTATTTGAAGTTTCAATACAAATACTTTTTTTGTAAAGCGCATCAAAATCGGTTTAACCAAACGGGAGATAAACTGTGGATATATACATACAAATCAAACTGAACCTCCATTTTTGAAGTCTGTTAAAAATACACACAAAAATAATTTTGTTATAAGTAGCAATGTATTAAAACAAAGGAGAAAAGCCTGGAGAATGTTGTGTGCGAGTTAATTATTTATATTTTTCCGATGTATTCTCCAGTCTATTCTCTTTGGTTACAATGCTTCAAGTTACGAGAGTGAGATAGACGAATGACAATTATTCCCTGCTGGAATTATATAATTTTCAAGGAATTATAGATATCGTGTGATAGATGATATTTGGAGAAATATTTGTTTATTGAAATTTAAAAACATTATAATTACATATATCCCACCAACCTGTCCAGGTAAACTCATGGAATGTTGGCTGTGTTCTCCATCGGACCCAATTAATGGAGATGGCGGTGCTGAAAATAAAATTGAAAACATTAAAATGACACAATATTAAGGTGTAACATGATAAAGACAACAAACTATAGATGATATATGTACTATGTATAGGGTTGTCATATTTAGGCAAGGTCTAGTAAATAATACCTACAAGAAAATTAATCTAGTCTTTATTTTCTAATCAGTTGCATCTTTCTAGATGCCCTTTAATATAACAGTAGAAAGTCATATTATAGTTTACTTAACACTATAAATAGAGTCCAGTCTCTGGAAGCAGTTGTGTTGTTTCAGTCAGCACATTTTCATCCTTTATATCAAGCCGGATGACAACCCTAATTATGTAGCCTTACTACGTTATATGATTATTTAGGTCAACCTCTAGCTACGTTTTGTTTCACATATGTTTACTTTATTCTAGTCACTAACTGATAGTATCGAGAATATAATTAACTTATATTATAACAACAAAGTTTTATTTTTGTGTCATCATACTAACATACTATAACAAATATATGCGGACGTCAAACATACTATAAAATTGCAATCTTACTTCTCACTAATATTATAAAGGCGAAAGTCAGTATGTTTGGATGTTTGTGACTTCTTCGATCAAATCATTAAGCAGAGACGGATTTTAATGAAATTTGGCATATATTTATTTAATAATGGATTAACATGGGCTATTTATTATCCAACTAATTGTTTCTGTAAGAATCATATACAATAAAAAATCATATACTGTTTGGAGAGCGGGGGTGGGCAGTGTTGGAATGTTCAATTAAAAGTTTATGTTACACCGTTATAAAGTTATTTAATATTACTAAGTTACAAATGTTAATATTTAATGTTAAAATGTTAGGAATACACGCGACGGCGGAATTGTACATACTAACTTAAAAACTAATTGACCAAAGCAAACGTCATTCGGTTCGGTAATATTACACCGAACATATACATTAATACATATGTACTTACGCGGCATGCTCGCGTGTAAATCCTGTTGAGAGTAGTTCGACGGTGACTGATGTTGATTTGGATGCACCATTCCAACCTTAAATATAATAAAATTAGGTCATATACAATTCTAGCTTTACTGATGAAACTTATAAAACAACCGGCGAAGTGTGAATCGGACTATCGCGCACAAAGCCTTCTAAACTATACATTATCCATAAAAACGCAAAAGAGTGACCTATATGTGAGAGCTCTTAAAATATTTATGTGATTCTATTTTTTAGTTATTATAGCAACAACAGAAAAACAGCATCGGTGAATTGTCTAACAATCACAGTTCACTATATACAACCTACTGACAGATAGACTGACAGACAGACAGAATATAGTCTTAGCAATAGAGTCCCGTTTTAACCGTGGGTAAGGAACCCTCATTTCTTAGCTACACATGGCTCTGTCTACTTTTAATTAAATTTAAATTTTAAGTACTAGGTTTATAGGTGTCCATACAAGAGACATCAAGATATTAATTTCCATCACTTGTCCCTACTGCCTGCCTAAAGTAAAGTTAAAAATAAAGTTTTCTCTATAATCTAGTTTTTGTTTAAATCATCAGCAGTAGTAAAAGATAGAAGTTTTTATTTATCATATTATTCTTAATGAAAAAATCTATTTTCTCCCCCGCACTCTGAGATGGGACTCGTGACCTTTCGCAATCCGGGCGATTGCTCTCATATTATGTTAGTGAATTCAAAATGAATTATTATTATTAAATACAAACTTGAACTTGTGGTTGAGCCACAGGTAAGGTTGAGTATCCGGGAGGGCGCCGCGGGTAGTTTGGTGCATAGTGCGAAGGCACTTGTGGCGGCGCCACTGCAGGCGGTGTGCGATACTCGCGAGACGATTTACCTAATAAATATAAATACAAATGTCAGATAACATCACAGATATTAATCGGATCCCAAGTTAAATAGCTAAAGCAATTCTAAAACAATGAAGGTAACAGAACACCTAACAAAAGACAACCTATTGTCTTGTGTTGGGTGTTCTGTTACCTTCATTAAATCAACTTTCCTATACCTATATAGGAAAGTTGATTTTCTTCACCAGACTCTTTTTTCCAGCCGACCGAGAATTGAGCCTGTGAGAGATATCCACTCAGCCATTTCGTTTTATAACTTATAGATAGACAGAGTTATGCATTTCATACTTTATTATTTGCAGTATTTATTAAATAGATTTTTCATTATTGATTGCAAATAAGAAAACACAAAAGGGGTCGTCCATTAATCACGTGGGGTTCGAAAGGAGGGGGAATTCGTCAAAAATCACTAAATATCACAAGGGGAGGGGGTGAAGTAATAAAACACGGTTTTTTTTTTTTATTTACCTCAAACACGCGATTACTAAACTAAAAAGCGGCGTCAAAAATTAAGCTTTTTTTTAGGTCCTAAAAATACACCTCTCACCTCCCTATGGGGAGGGGGCCCTAAAGAGGTTCAAACCAAACTGACCCACAAACTGTGGGTGAGCACCATGCAGTTTATTGCATTTAAATACATAATCATCTTTTCATTTACACTAAATCAACAATATGTCATTACATAATGACAATGCAGTGAAATATTGTCAATTTAGTGTAAAGAAGTCTACTTATAGTACAAGCTGTGCAAGCTACAATGATACATAAAAATTACAATTTATATCAAAAAGATCACCATAAAAGAGAAAAAGAATATATACATTCACATTGTTTATGGTACATAATTTGTTACATACCCAGAGTACCACGTCCCAAAGTGCCTGTGTTGGCAGCATTTGCAGCACGAACAGCTGCTGGTGGTGTTGGGGGTTTTGTTGTAGGTGCCGGTAAAGTAGCAGAACTGGGTGCTGAACCAGAACGGCGACCACGAGGTGTCCCAGACTGACCACTATTCCAACGGGCCCCATGACCGATATCATCAAGAGCTGTGAAAATTTTTGGAAGTGATACAAAATTGGCTAAGTCATATATAGAGCTTTTTAACTTTTTAAGTTTCATTTTAGATGAATAAAATTTATATATTGAAATTTTTTTTTATGAAACTTATAGTCAAGTCAAAAGTTTTTATGTAGGTTATTAATAATAATAAAATTTATTTATTTTACTTGTGTACAAAGCTGGTGCATGCTATAGGTTTTTGCAAGAAACTGAATACACGGGCTATTAATATTATTGTTTACAAATGGAAAACTGGGATATATTTCTTTAAAAAAATCATTGTAGGGCCATCCAAAGTCCTAGTGGAACAACTCAGTAAAAATAATGATGAAAAAGTAGTCTTAGTTTGTTGTTTATTCAATTACCTGTATAATCAATACTCTTTCGAAGATACTTAATAGGTTTTTCAGGGTTAGCTGGTGCTATAATTTTATATTGTCTGGTAATAACTTTATTGGCAGTAAGGACACCAATCTCTCGCCTTGCTACTTTCTCTTTATGTATAGCGACTGTCTGAGCAATGTGATTCATTTGACCTTCCATTTCAGCTAACTGCATAGTTTGTAGTTCAAGTAGTTGAAGGAAATTGAATGCCAATGTGTTAATTTGATAAGCTACACTGGCTAAAGATTGGGTTGTATAGTTTTTAGTACTCTCTAAAGCAAGTCTTTTATTCTCTGATTGAAAATAATTAGCTTCACAGTATTCTGCTACTCGTTCAAGATTAGTATGACTGTCGGTGAGATGATTTCGTCCTTCAGGTATTTCAGTCTGTAGTAACGCTGCTAATTCTGCCATGTTGATATCTAAAATAAATATTTGGACATTAATAGCATTTTGAAATAAGTAGGGTTCATAGAAGATAACGAGTGTAAGCTTACCTCAGTATAACAATACTTTAATCCACAATAGCAACTTGGCCGACTGACCGGGCAACAATATTAAAACAATGAAATATTCGATTTGCTACATTAGTGTTTTTAATAACATACTAATATTGTTGCATTACTGTATTATTAATAGAATAAAAAATATATAAACGTACACACCCAATTCTAAACATAGAGAATAGGTAAATTTTTGACATTCGTTTGACATTGACAGACACCATAGACATTTGAAGACTATGGACCAGACAAAACAATATTTTACCTAGAGCCATGCCATAGAGATAAGAGCCATGCCTAGTAGTAGTAGTAGTAGTAGTAGTAGTAATGGCAGTAGCAGTTTGTTTCTGTAACTGGGACTGGCGAAAGAGCTTAGACATACTGCTAAATCTTGAGTAATGATAAAACTAAAAAGATTGCTTTAAACATTTAGCCTATATTAGACGGTTCATTAAAAATGGTTCAACTTCAATACTGATCCGATTTCTGATTCGTAAATATCGAACGTATACTGGGTGAAACAGAAAGACCGACACTCCCGAGGTTCCTGGAGAGTACTATTTGTCTTTAATATGATGCAAAAAAAATATATGTCTATACTCCATTCACTATAACATTAAAAAAAAGAGGGTCATAGAAGCAGCAGTGCAGAACATTTTATTTTCAAGATAAATTTAAAAAATATATATTAGTTTTGTTGAAACTTTGAATGTTAGGTAGTCTGAAAGAGCTGGGCAATTATCCATTTTTTATGATACCTCGGGGTTGAGATGAGGCCAGCATTTTATAAATTCATCTTTTAGTCCCAAGCCAACATGGAACTAAAACTGAAACTATCTGTGTGTTTTGATAAATTCTAATTGTAAGTGTAATTAGTTAGACCATTGATGAAGACATTGGAAAACCTCCCTGAAATGTCAAAGTTTGAGGGTAGGTATGGGGGCTTAGAGCGTAATATTTGTAGGCCACTCGGGCCTTTACCGGCATCCTCCATATTTACCAAAACTTAACAACAAAAATAAAACAATAACATCACGGAAAACGGCAAAACAACAAGAGTACAAGGCAGTAGTATTCACAATGGATGACAATCCCAGATTACGATTTTAACAACTATGAATAAATAATAATCTGACAAAATTAAAAAGCTGTACTACCGAAACGTTTGAAGGGGTTAGGCAACGTTTTAAATTTGGTAGAATTATAGTGTCATGAGAATCGTGCCGAAACTATCCAACCCTGCTTCTTTAGGTTCTTTACAATGAACACTTTTTATTGTAATAGTTATTAAATCATTTAAGTTAGTCATATACTCATAAATTTGTTTAATAGATAGCTTAAATGATCACAGTTAAGTATAGCAGCTGGTATTTAAGTGGATATGTAGCAAATTAGCCGTCAGTCTTAAAAGTAACATGATTGATATTTTGTCACAAAGTATATGAAAAGAACCTTATTTAACTTCTGTCTAATGCTATAACGAATGGAGTATAGGTTAAATTACAAAGTTTTTGGAAAAAAATGAGTGTTTTCAACCCTGAGTCAGCTGTTTTTGGGACGTACTAAGGAAAAGTTTTTAATCGGTCATTGACTTCTAAAAAAACTAGTTTATGATTTATAAGACCGCTTTCATGCAAATTCTACCAGACAATCACTAAACAAAGCAGTCAAAATGCTTAAATCGATTGACAGACTAACAGCCGGTTTCTGATTTGAAAAAAGTAGAAAATCTCTACTGCTTATTCCCAATAACCTACGTCTTTTTAATTTCACAAGTCAAATAGTCCTAGTTATCAAACTGCTATCAACTGATCATCAAAAAACAAATCGCAAACGAAAACTAAGTTAACTGTTTTTTAACAATTTCAAACTGACTATCGCTAAACGAATCAGTCAAAATGCTGAAATTCATTAATAGACTAACATTTAATAAATCATTGTAAAAAGATTATTCTAATTTACATTACGTTACTACATTATTTCAAATAGTCAGAGTTTCCAAAAAAATGTAACTAAATGGATCAAATAACAAGATCATTTATTAAAGTAGTTAAACCAATATTATATCATCCATTAACATAAAGTACATTTGTGATAATAATGAACCATTATGTACTTTGTGTTAAAACACTATGTAAGGGTTTGGTTACTTATTTAAAATGTATTTAAAAAGAAAATTCAAAAACAATTGCGTTGTAACTAAATACGAATTCGAACTGTTAATCTAAATAGCCAAAATCACGCTAAAAAGACCGCTCTGTGTAATGGCTCTCTATCTGGTCTCTGTCTGGTGACCACATGGTATTTGTGACGTCATATGCCGGTAAATATCGCTTTCACTCTGGTTTTATTTATAAATACATATCCGGTTAACATAACCTATCATTGGTGCGTGACAACCAATAGGTTATTTGACGCTTTTCTGAAAACTTTTTTAAATGGTTGTTTGATACATTATAAATACACTGTCAATATATGTTGTGAGAATCATCAATCAAAAATTGCGTTTATATTCAGTGACTTTACAAAAGTTTTGCTATAAACATTATAAACGATATTTTTGATGAGATATCAATGGCTTTTTGGGCATTATCACCAATTAAATTATTTTTTTCACAAATATTCACAATTTACACTTTGACTTAATAGTTGTTAACAGTAGACCATTTATATATCCTGAAAATCGAGATTGTTTTTGTTTTGTTTTTGTGCTATCAGATTCTAGTACACCTATAACCGTATTTATATACTTTGACTTAATGATAAACAAAAAGTACACATTAAAGGTAACTCTCACAATCAGTTTTAATGAGGAAGTATTTAAGAAAAAAAAGAAAGCACTAAAAAAGCACCTCCAATAGATGACAACTCTATGCAAAAGTTGACTGTTGAACATATTAAAAAACTTTGCAAAGTTCGAAACTTACATATCAAAACAAATACGAAAATGTTTATTAAGTTTCGAAAACTAATTTACTTTTATACATAAAAGAAAACCGGAAGGGCTGTCATGGAGAAATCAAAAAAGTACTGTAGTAACATCTAGTTTTGATTTTCAATCAAATGTATTTTTTTTAAATACTTCCTTAATACTGAAATGTAAAATTTAGTGCTTTTTAATTAATTATAACATAGTTTTAGAGGTTATGTTAACATTATGAAAACAGAAGCTTCGTATAGGGTGAATAGATAATTTTAATTGCCGCATCAAACTCGTAAATATTTTCATTTTATAATATTTACTTTTTATTTTAGGAAAGTTTGTAACTACAGTGTGACGTATAATATATTGAAGAAGAGAATAAAAATGATTGAATATTTGAGTTGCCTGGTAAACAAATAAAAGGACGCCCAAAAATGGAATTAGACGATTTTGCCATTTGTGCTAATAAAAATAATAATTTGTTTTTTTTTTAATTAAGTTTATATGTATAATATTTTTTTTTACCTTTTTACTGTTTCAGTTGTCAAAATCCAGAAAATGCTTAAATTTAAATAAGCAATAAAGATTCGATTGTTATTCTTTATATTATTTTTAATTTATTGTAAGTATCAAATTTGTTTAGGTTCTATATTTATCAACTATTTGGCTAAGCTGTCTACAAGGCGAGTGGAGCCAAAATAATAAAAGAAATCATGACGATTAAGTTGACAATACTGCTTGTTTATTGTCAACGCAAGATTTGGCTGTATGGCTTAGCTCTTTCGCCTGTCTCACGGACAAAACTACTACTACTACTACTTGTCAGGCTTACCAACTTAGGGCTTTTAGCCCCAAATTTAGGGCGGAAATAAACTAATTGGGCTATTTTGGGGCTCAAGAAAATTTAGGGTTAATTTTAGTGCCAAAAAATTAAATAAATTAGTAGTAAAAATATCAGGAAATGTCTAAATTACCCATTAAATCTTTTTACTTGTTTTAAAATAGATTAATCAGCATCGTTTGCAACATACAAAAAATCTTTGTTTTCTCTTCGAATTCAACAATTGACAAAATGTTAAATTATCTTACAAAACTGGTACCAATTGTGCATTATATAGAAGTAAATGTTTAGCTGGACGTATGTGTAAGTCTGTGGTCTATCTATACATATTACTATTGCTTCAATATGACATTTTCTAATCTATTTGCATTTTCTGTAGTTTTAATTTCATGTCGTGGTTTTCTAAGGTTTTCGAAGCAAGATTATAGAACAATGAGATGAGCTAAAATTACTGTTTTCACTTGCTAAGTCTCAGGACAAATGTTATATGGCAGAGCAGCTTTATGATATTATAAGACGTCTACTGCCGCGTCCGCACGCTTGCCAAACCTCAACAAGCCGCAGCAAACTCAAACGTATGGATAGAATGTTTGCCTTGGTTTGTGTTGACTTATAAGCGTTTGTAGTCGATCCGATCGAATGTCGGTTTTTTGTCACAAATCAAAGGAAGTTTGCGCCAGCGCTTGCGACGCGTCCACACGTTTGCGCGTATTCAGTCTCGTTTGTGTGCTGGTGGTGAGTAGATGTACGCTTGTATTGTGTAAAGCATGAGTGACCGGTCAAGTGAAGATATTTTAAATTTTCAGGAACTTTACCATGCAAAAATAAATTAAACCAAATGTTATGGCCGATATAACCTCAATATCCGTCACGTTCGTTATGCTTGGCTCTTCAGAACACACTAAAATCACTCGCAAGCGTGTGGATGGCGATGTTTGATTTCCTAAATCAAGCCAAACGTTTGCAGAGGTTTGGAATTTGCGGCAAGTGCCAAACGTGCGGTCGCGGCATACCGTTTAAAGCGTTGATGTTATTTTTAAGAGATGAATTGAAAAAAGTTAATAAACTAAATGTTTTTTTCCAAAGTGACGAAGTAGAACCAAAAAATTATTTGAAGACTTATTTTTAAGTAATACAAGCAGGACAGGGCTTTTTTTGGGGCTTTTGATTACACCATTCGGGGTTATTTAGGGTTATTTGGGTTTGGTTTTAGGGTTTTATTTTGTTGGGAGTTGGTAACACTGCTACTTGTTTACTGTCAAATTGTCAATGCATGTCTGGCATGTCAAATAGGTAGTATATTCGATTTTTGGATAAAAAATGAATCCACTGGTATAGATATTAAAACGATTTTTAAAATTTCGACATATTAAATGTAATTTTGAACTACGTATAAAAATAATGGGTACTAACGGCAACGGTCGACGAGGAGGTGCTAAGCTCCCCGACGTTCGCCGCCCGATGGAGGAAGGCGATTGTGTTAACGATATGGAGAGTCCCGAATTAGATTTTGTGTACGACGACTGTGACACGCAAACTAATGAAATAGCAGAACTTTACAGTTACACTGAACATCCAGAATTTCAATTAAATGTGAAAGCTTTTGAAGATATCATGGAAGAGTTCGATTACCCTCCCAGTTGGCAGAGATTGACTAAAGCGCAACAACGAACAGTCATTATAAAGTTATTAGAACATTTAGATGTAGCTGTTACTGAAATACGAATGCGAGCAACAAGGTGTATATTTTACTTGGCTCAAGGTTGTTGGGCTGAGGTGCAGTCAGATGCAGAGCAAGCCCATTGGGCCCGCGTTAATGTTATGACCTTATATGAAATGGGTACGTTTACAGCCTTTGTGGAACTGTTAAATTTGGAAATAGTCAGAAGTAGTACAGCTATTGCATCTAGGAAATTAGCTGAATCTCTGGCAGACTCGACCAATCTTCGAGTTATATTATCTGTACTTTATTTGATAACAGAATACATGAGATCTGAAAAAGATAATCCAGAATCAGAGTATGCTCATTTGGTGCAGAACTTCAAAGAAGAACTTGGGCAGCCGTTTGGTGATGAACTGTTACCAGTTAAACTTTTAAGTATGGTTACGCATCTGTGTGCTGGTACAACACCACATTTTCCAATGAAGAAAGTCTTATTACTGTTGTGGAAAGTATTGCTTGTTTATCTGGGTGGAACAAAAGAATTAAAAGAAAAAAAGGCAAGATTAAGAGATAAATATGGTCTACCTAAAGTGACAGAAGATACTCTTGAAATTATAAAAGGAATGCGAGCTAGCTCACCACCACCAAGTGCTGTAGATATGCTAGAAAATCAAAATCCTGGGCAAAGAAAGATGAAAGAGAATGAAAGGGCACTTAGAAGACAGACATTTGTGAAACAGACCTCTTTGGATGAATCAGATGAACAGATATTTGTTGACAAAGAAGAAACTGGAAATGGTTCTGAAGATTCTATGGAGTTTCAATCTATGCCGAGTGATGGAACACCAGGTGATAACAATCAACAGTGTCCATATTACATGTATTTTAAACAGTTAGATAGTCCACCTCCACCTCCACCATTACCACGAAGCCTTCCTTGGCAGTCTAAAGTGAGACAAAAAGACATCGACACATTTTTAGACAATGTACGTATCAAATTTGTTGGTTATTCCCTACCTGGAGATAGACAGACAATAGCTGGGTTGCCACAACCTATACATGAAGGAATGGAAATACTCAAGAAGCATATGTACACTAGTCTTTCAGAAATACAAATTGAAAGAGAAAATGAAATTGCCCGAAGTCCTCTCACAAAAGGAGAAAAAGAAGTTGAAGAAACTGAAACAGAAATCCTATACAGAGCTATGGTACCTAATTTACCTCAGTATATGATAGCTCTTTTAAAGATTCTTCTGGCTGCGGCTCCCACATCTACTGCAAAAACTTATTCTATAAACATAATGGCAGATCTTCTGCCTGAGGAAATGCCAATGACTGTTTTAAAATCTCTAAAGCTTGGTATTGATGTTAATAGACATAAGGAAATAATTGTTAAAGCTGTCACTGCCATACTTCTTTTGCTTTTGAAGCATTTTAAATTGAATCATGTTTATCAATTTGAATTTATGTCACAACATTTGGTATATGCCAATTGCATGCCACTAGTTTTGAAATTTTTCAATCAAAACATTTTATCTTACGTTGGAGCTAAGAATTCCATACCCATATTTGATTTCCCGGCATGTGTGATTGGGGAACAACCGGAACTAACAAAAGAATGTTTGGACATCGGTGATTCTTCAGTCCCATATTCATGGCGTAACGTTTTTTCCTGCATAAACTTATTAAGGATATTGAACAAATTGACAAAATGGAAAAATGCACGAATTATGATGCTTGTGGTATTCAAAAGTGCACCAATTTTGAAACGCACACTCAAAGTAAGACATGCTCTTATGCAGTTTTATGTACTAAAACTTCTTAAAATGCAAACAAAGTATTTGGGGAGACAGTGGAGGAAGACGAACATGAAAACAATAAGTGCCATTTACTCAAAAGTTCGACACAGGTTGAACGATGACTGGGCATTTGGTAATGATGTTGATGCACGGCCGTGGGATTTTCAAGATGAAGAAAGTGCATTGAGGGTCAGTGTGGATCGCTTCAACTTACGGAGGTATGGCACTGGTGGTGAACATGAATTGGATCTGTCTCCTTATGAAACTGATATAAACAGTATTCTTGAAAGTAATATTGAGCTTGATGATGAGTTTAAAGAGAATTATGAGCTATGGCTGGAACAAGAAGTGTATAACAATGAAATAAATTGGGACATATTACTGACGGCATGAACTAACCATGTTAATTTTTATATTTACATATTTTACTATTGTGTTATCAATAAGAAATTGGTTGACATACATGACTAATTTTTAATTATTTAGAAAGGTACACCATCTTACCTCTAAAATAAATCAAAGTGTATGCTATCTTATTATAAATAGGCAGTAATATATTATTATCTTGTACATTTTTACTTATCTTAAAAATAGTGTGTGTATTACATATATATAGACCTCCCAATTCTATGCTGATAGATTTTATAGAGAAATAAAATTAACTATCATGACAGTGTGTTACTTTACAATTAATTTTTGATAGTATTTAATGTATTTTTTAGTATGCATGAAATTGTCTTAGTAGGAATGTGCTAAAAGAATAATAGTGTTGCCATTTTAAAAAACTACAAATGAAATTTTACATCACTAATCTTAATAATTAAATGAAACACATATCGCCTATTGAATAGGTTGAATGTTTTTTTTTAAACATGATTGGATGGCTTGAAATCATGATTTTATTTTTACATTTGCAGCAGTAAGAATATTAAAGATGTTGAACATGAGGAAACCAAATTGTTTTTAAAAATATGCCGAAATTTATGTTACATAAGAACATTGGCAATAAATAGTTCTAGTTTTAGCTTCGTGAAAGATTTATAAAAATGCAATATGTATTAGATCTCCCATTGTTTTGTCCAGTAACTTAATATAACCTCTATGTATTAAATATATATGCATTAAACGATGGTAAATAGATGTACCGTGTTTCATTAGCATTTTAAATTGGGTTGTATCCGTGAATTCATTATCCAAGCATATTTTATTACAACCATAATTTATTACATACTAAATATTATGCGCAAAAAATAAAAACATTATTTTTATTTTTTCAATCTCTTATTTCAATACAGTATAGGGCGGGCATGATGCCTTACAGCATTCTTTACTAGTTGGTCTTTGGTTAGTATGGGTGTCTAATAGAAAGCACTAAGGGCGCAACAACGATAAAAAACAAACAATGGTTAATAAAATGATATTAACGTCACTATACAGATATACATGATATTAATATAGGTACAATACATTGATTATATTAATATTATATCCAATTAATATTATAAATGTGAAAGTTTGTTTGTTTGGATGTTTGTCCGTCAGTCACGCCGAAACTACTTAACGGATTTTGATGAAATTTGGATACAGGTAGGGTATTAGCTGATTTAGATAATAGGATACTTTTTATCCCACTAAATATTTCCCTAGGGAATACGCGGGCGAAATCGCTGGCGAAAGCTAGTATAAATCAGATATAAGCTATCTTATTTACGAGATTGAGATAGTGTTCACTGACCGTTCGTCCGTTTGTTTTAATGAATCTTTTACTGATTGTTTTGCTATAAAAAAGCGGTTTCTACGTGTTTGAATCCGCAAAACTATAAGTAATCTAATATCAATATTTTTCTACAAATGCGTTGCATATTTTTACGAGTAACTTTTTATGTTGTTTTATTTCAAAGTTCAAAATAAAAAAGGATGAGGTTACATATTCGACGGTGACATTTTTATTATGTATGTTCACATATTTTTCCACGTATTCTTGCCCAATTTTCAAAATTTCTTTTTTTTTTTAATAGACGTGAAGCAACGCTTGCGTTGTGTTTCGTTGTGTGAGTGAGGGTACCGGAGGCCCAAACCCTCCCTATTCCCTTCCCTCTACCCCTCAACCCTTCCCTCCAAGGCCGGCAGCGCGCTTGTAGCCCCTCTGGTGGTGCAGGTGTCTATGGGCGACGGTAATCACTTACCATCAGGTGATCCGTCTGCTCGTCTGCCCCCTATCCCATAAAAAAAAAGATACCTATCACCTAAATACTTAAATGACATGTAGGTATATAAGCGAAAAAACAAAAAAATGCGTATTTTGCATTCATTCAAAATTCGAAAGGAGGATTTTCTACGTTCAACGGGTATGTATATTTTTTATGTAAGTAGGTTTGTTCATCGATTGCTTCTTGAAATGTGAACCAATTTCTATCAAACTAGCTCTATCCCCGCAACTTCGTCTGCGTTTATAGCCTATGTCCCCTGTAAATTGTATTAAGTTGCTTCCCGTAGTTGAAAAATTTTTTCGAAAATCAGTCTAATAGTTCCTATCCTATGCAAAGAAACAAGCAATCAAATCTTTCGTCTTTTTATTACGAGTATACTATAGATATAATGTGTTGAAAAAAATTATGTTGAGAAAATAAACAAAATCTCCTTTTCTAAGACAATCACTATGTTAACATATATTTTTATATAGATATCATATTTTTACTTTTACCTACAACCTTTGAAAATAATTTAATTAATTAATATCACGAAAAAATATGATTTTCTTTTTATTACAACCGACTTCAGGCTTTACTTATCCCCAGAGGTCGGAATTGGGTAATGTTATTTATGTACTTGCATCGAAATGTTGATATTAATGTGGACCTCCCCGGGATTTCTTTATTTCTTCTTTCTTTATTTCTTTCTTTCATTGATGTAAGTTTGGCAACGTCGTGTGTGTAGTAGTTTAAATTGTGTAAAAGTAAATAACTTTTTATTTTAAAAACCACGGGATTTTTTCTGCTCTTTAAAATTATTTCTCGGGATTTGAGGCATATCCACTTTATTCTTTCGCCGTATGAAATCAGTGTAAGTACATGAATAACTCTACCTAATTCCGACCACTGCTTATCACGATTTATTCAAGAAATTGCTTTTGAAGACGGGCGAAGGTTTTCTGTAGGTAATTAATTAAAAAATAACTATCAAATCGAGTGGTTAACCAATCTTTTCTTGTTATTAGTATTTTCACATCTAAATGTTATTTCCGCCAATTGTATTTAATAATAATATAATCTTTATTGCACACATGCAGACAGGAAAACAGAACGAAATTACACGGTAAAACAATACAGAGTACACAAAAGGTGGCCTTATTTCTAAACAGCAATTTCTTCTAGGCAACCTATAATATAACCTATTAATATCAACATCGTAGAGGATTATCTACAACTTTTATTTAAAAATTTGATCATAAAAATACTGCTTATTTTCTATCAAATGAGACCTTAATAATTACCTATGTAATAGAAATGATAATTATCAAAATAAAATGAATAGCTACGGAACACATAGGGGACGAAACATAAGTGAGTTTTTTACTTTTACGATCCTAAGACACAAATTGATTTTCTATATTTACATGACGTTTCCGAAAGGCTTACTGACTACAATGGGGAGAGTCTTGTTCAAGCGTGAAGCCACTGTGAAATAAACTCAGCTATTGCCCTACTCCTGGCCAATATGGGCCTGACCCACTGTTGGAACAATGACCCCAAGTATTAGAAGGAGAGCTTGTGACAAAAATGTGTAAGAATTTTGTACATCCGTATGTGGAAATACCTACTGCATGTAAACATTCAGAACCTATCCTGTGAGGAGGTCGGAGTCGGTGGCAATAAAGTGTAAAATGTCCCCGAAAATTCTAATCACGGTAACTGTATAAGTCGGGTGGAGATTGATTAACCGTCTGACGTCAATAAATCTTCAATTATTGGTTTTAAAACCTTTTTAGTGATATAAGTAGGGTAAGGTGGGACACAGTGTGACACTCTCAATATCTTCGTCTCTTTTTACCATATCGTTATCGCTTAGAAAGCGCATCAGATGGAACACTTGTCAATTGGATTCTTATTTGCACGCTGCAGAAATTTTACGAAAAAAGAGTTTTTGGCCTATTTTTTCGTATAAACTGCCAGTATTGTTTTCGTTCTGAGGTGTTTATTGATGTACTTACGTAAGTATGTTTTTTTTTTCTTGAAAAGCCATGTATTTGTAGATAAATACACGTAGATATTTTGCCGGTATCGCAACCTACTTATTATTTTTTATGATTGTTTTTCTTTTGAGCCTGTGGGGTACAGTGTGACGGGGCACTGTGATATGACAATCTCACAACTCTTGAAAAGCAATAAGGTTGATAACAATTTTTATTTCCCGCTTGAGCCAGATTTGGCGGTAGTTGGAATAGAAGATGTAGAAATTGTTTTACCTGAGCTTGAAAAGTGCAAAAAACCTACAAAACAACAAGCTGAATTTTATACTTCTCCTAAAAATATTTTAAAGAAGGGTGCGCAATGCGCAATAAATCTTATTAGTATAAACAAGTTTTCCTAGAATAAGTAATGCTACAAAGTACCCCATAGTATGTCACGTTGTACCCCGGATCCGGGGCAGTCTGTGACAATAGACAGATCTCAAAAATGTGCAATTTAAAAATACTTCTTGTTATTTTTGGTATTGTTTTTCGTTGTCAAATGATATTTTAAGAACTGTTGATTATAGAAGACTAATAGAAAGTTCCTTTAAAAAATATTTTCAGATTTATATTACGATTCATCTTTTTTGTTACACTGTGCCCCACCTTACCCTACTAAAAACTGATATTAATTTAAATAAGGAAAGCAAATGTTTTCTTTTCTTCGATGGAATATCGTCGTCGATGTTGTGTTTACCGACGGCAGAACGCTATCAGTTACCTTGTTATAAAAAAAATGGTTCTCGAAAGATTTTTACGGGAAGACTACAATTTGTCTACAATTCGCGGAGATATCAGGTAACATAGATAAAAATAACATAGCCGTCAAACACAGAACTATTTTTCGATTTTGAAGTCTGCTAATTAGTAACACGTACAAACTGCGTAACAGTTTTACCGGAAACATTTGCAATTTATGCTGATAAATACTCAAGTCCCTATTACTATTTGTGAATTAATTTACTACTTAGCTTTTTGTATTATTTAAATAAACCTTCCACTTGAATAACTTTTTTTATTGATGAAAACCGGTGATTCTCCGGAAACTTGAACTTCATCCTTCAAAGTACATCCATCGTTTTGTTCTTCAGTCTGTCAAATAATACCAATCAGGCTTATTTTTGAAAAAGAACAATGACATAAGTATCCAACCGGAAGTTTAAGTTTCCGAGGATTATCATTATCCGTTGTGTAGTTTAAAAGATCGTACCCACGGACAGCAGATTTGTATGTTGTAGTTGTTGGTCATACTAAAACGCTCATTTCTGTAATTTCTCCTTAAGTGAAATTATATCTCTTAACTATTTCATACTTTATTATAAGTACCTATTTAAAAACGAGGAAGCTTATCTACAGATTAGTCTACCGGCTCCATAACGCGTAGATAAATAAAAAGATATAAGTAAATTGTTTGTAAAAAAACATATTAATGGCTAACAGTTCGTTTTGTTCTCACATCATACGTCACCAAGATGACATCCGAACATTAGTAATAGTATAACAATGGACCCTTTTACAGGGTGGTGGGGTGTGAACGCAGTAGGTGGTAGAAGCGAGCTTTTAAAAGGGGGGAGAGCAGCATTTTATTACCGCTATTAAAATTTTGCGTATCTTTTCAGATTTCCTAATACTTATTTTTATTATTTTATGCTTGTTTTTAATTCTGAAGCATTTATTTGTAAAATATAATTAACACTGAACTTTTCTGTGTTACTTTAGGATTGTAAAATTAGGTACGTATTATGAAAATATTGTAATTAACTTCTGCCCTGTTGTGATGCGATAAATACATATATGGATTTTTGCCAAAATTAAAAAAAGAAAGGTTTCTGATCTGTATGTGCGTATTATAAATCTGTGAATGTAACTTTTTCAAATTGCCCTTACGTATTGTTTCAAGCCCGTGTAGCATTGCATTCAATACAGTATCTACTAATTACATATGTACAGTCAGTGCGGTATATCAGGTTAAACAAAACTGACCAAATTCTCCAGTTCACTTTAGCACGGTGGAAAGTAGATTGGGGCTATAACATTTTGTGATAACCTGACGTACCGCTGTATGTAAGGTAAGTACGCGTGAAATACATACTCCACCAGAACAGTTAAGATCACGACACAATCTCTAAAGAATTTTCCGCTTCGTAATCCGAATAAACGCAGCATTCAACTTATGCACACGTTGTGAATGCTCATTTCTCATCCACTTTCTTTCAGTGACAAATCTAAATCGGAATGGAGAAGGCTCAATATTTATATTTGCTCATACAATTAGTAGACGCTAGTTCGATGATTTACAGTGATTTCAATGTGAACGATATTCTTAGCACGGATTTGATGCCTACGTCATTTATAATGAGTGGAGATATTAGCACGATGAAAACAAATGAAACCGCCGCTGAGGGGAGGGTGAGTGAGGATGGGATCGATTTATCCAACGAAAGAGGTGTTTCTAATATTAACGGGTCAATAGATGCTGCTTTTTCAACACTGACTTTTCACAGGTACAGTAAATTGTTTATTTTAATGTTAAAAAATCTTTTACCTTACTGTAGGTGATTTTTTTAAATCGGCCCAGGGTTTGGAGCCTATTCTATGCAAGCAAACAAACAAACGATTACATTTTTCCTCTTTCTAGTATTAAGTATAGAAGTATGTCTCTAGATTATAATTTCACTTTAAAGAATTTAATTTAGCTAAAAATTTCTAACGAAGTGATTGTTTTTTTTTTTTTAAGACAATATCTAACTCGATGGTGAGTTAGAAATGGTTTGTGTGAAGTGAATATATGGGACCTTGAATTTGTTTATATTAAATATAGGCGTACTTTAAGGATACGCAAAGTAACTAGACTAAAGCACCAGTAGGCTGAAATCTAGAGTCAATAAAATATATTTTCAAAGAATTATACAGTAAAATATATCTTCAAGATATCTCTGGATTATGACTTTAATGCCTGTTTTCAATCAAAGGAATGTAAAAAGCACCTAAACATTTGGAATTGCCTTAGATTTACCAATTGCGTTATTGCAACACTGCGCTAGGCACTCGCGTAATGTGACATATTACACCAGCGTCAAGGGATAAAAACAATTTGTTGATTTGAAATTAAACAAAACTTAAGGTTACGTATTTCTTAGTCAACCTAGTCTAGTCTTATAAATTAGATAAAAATATTAAAGTACACACGATCAATTCTAATTAGGATTTCTTTTTTTTTTTCTTTATTTTGGTACAAATAGCCATTACATTAAAGTAACATCTTATAATAAAATATAAAAAGACAAATTAGTAAAAAGAATTATGATACCTTTATTAAATGAACGACTGGTTTGCGTGTTAATCAAATAATTGATTGCGTTAATTTTTTTAGGCAAATGATGAACGAGTACCAATGTCGTAATTATGTTGCAGAGCAAATATTAGAAGATATAGGCAAAGACACAATTCAAAATCGAGTTGGTATACCTCTTGATACTGCTATTCCTTCCAATATCTTGATAAAGCGATCGCAGGACCTAAGGAATAACGTCCTATATGATATAGGCTCCGCCAATTATCAAGAATGGTTGAATAAGTAAGTTGCATTATATTTATCATACCATAATTATAGGCATTTTTCAGTTACTAATGAATAAGCAAAAGTAGGTATATTGTGCATAGTTATTAGACAGGTTCTCATTACACTCTAAATATTTTTTATCGAGGCCTTACCTACAATTACCTTGCATAAGTTGCATTTAGGGACAGAGTACATACATATATACTTCTTTAGAATTATATATTTTCTTTGCTAATATATAAATCTGTCACACACTGCGGACTGTAAATATAGGCGTAAATAGACATGTAAGGGTAAATAATCTCAAAATAATATATAAGAAACACTTATGCTGCCTAAAAAACAAAGAAACTACTCACTCTAACTGTCAATAGAAAATACCAATAAAAAAATACAAAAAAGTATAAAAAATTAATCTATGAAAGAGGTTGCCTTCAGCAACATCTGTTTTAATAAAAGCAATGTAGTAGTTACAAGTTTTCATTAGAAGCGGACATTTACTTAAGCATTAATTCGATTTCGCAATCATGAAAAGCTCTTTCGTGCTTCAGAAAGCAAATATACCTGTAGTTGTTAAAACCCTCCAATCCGTATTTTATTATTGGTGGCCCATTCTCCTTATATGATTCAATCGACAGTGTTGACATTATTAGTCAGGTAATGTTAAATTATGACTTATTTATTATTATTATTTAGAATTGCAGCAATTAATACCAATTATAATCAGTTCAACGCGTCACCTCCGCCGGAGGCAGAAAGCTCTTCAACCATTGGAAATGAAACAAATCAGCAACCACGTGAGCGATATCAAGTGTATGAGCCTGGTGAAGCAACGGCTTTTGCTGAACAAGATCCTTATCCCACAGTATCAAAATACGGTAAGCAGCTTTTAAAACTATTTTATCGTCTTATACATAAAGAATAGTGAAAATCTATATTCAGAAGACGGTCAAGCGCATAGAATTGGCATCAGGAAAAATCTGAAAATAGAAATAATATTGTTACTGACAACTCATCAACTTTGGTGGTATATGCCAGCGATTACCAAAATGCGGTCTGAAACTTAAGAAATCCTGTAAACAAGGTAAATGTTTATTATTTAGTAAAATTATTGAATTTTAGGATTTCGTACCTCAAAAGAAACTGAACCCTTAACTGGATCACTTTGTTGTCCGTAAATTTGTCAAAACTCCTCATTTACCCCTTATTTCGAGAACATGTGGAGAAAAATAATGGTCTTCTAAATTAGTGTTTAAAAGATACGAAAACAAAATTGATTAAAATGATAAAAAAGTGGTTTGGTTGGGCTGGGTGTCCTGTGAATAGCGATACTTATCTCATTTTAGGTGGTGGCTACGAATACTCTATGCCACCGCCACCACCGCCATTGTACCACCACCCAGCGTCTCAAGAACACGAAGAGTATGCCGTAGAGAAAGAGTCACGTGGACTGGGGATCTCAGAATTATTCGACATATCACTCACTGGGATTGCGTTTTTGTCGTTTGGAATGTTCATGCTGCAAGTTCTTATGTGTATTTCAATGGTTTGTTTAAATATAATAATACTAAATATTAGACGTTACCAAAATTACAAATATAGAATAAACAATTAAAAGAAATAGTCTAACTACTCCTACTTTGAGTCAGTTTTGTGGTACCGGTCAGATTAACTTATTGTTTTTTGGTCGAGCAGTAAATTATATAAATAATAAATAAACGCACAACGAATTTTCCGGTTGGAGCTCGATGCGGAGGTCAAGAAACTTTCACAAAGACCGGTCATAGGATGGGTGACCAAACATTTATATTATCGAGCTCATGCGTGTTTTGGAAGGCATGTTAAGTCGTTGAACCCGGCTGCATCTGCAGTCAATAATCAATGGGTCTTAGGCCCGCGAGGTGGGTCATGGCCCGTTATCCATGTCCATAAAAAAGGCATGTGCCTCAGCAGTGGGGACGTAAATAGGCTGGTATTTTTTAAAATTTATAATTTTAACTTTTCGTTCTGACTTCTACAATATCCACTGCATTTTCAGCATCCAAAGCAACCCCAAGTAATGCAAATGGTGGACAATGGAGACACATTGAACCTCGATGAAGTATTCCGATTCAAACGACAGGCGGAGTCAAAACGAAGTTCTCTTACGACGATGAATACACTCTCTCGATATGCTCTCATCGCTTTGAAGCCTTTCTCTACACAATGCCTATACCGCGTGCTGTGTCTTGGTAATAAACAGGCTAGAAACTTTAGGGATAGCAGCAGATTTTGGCTACCAGTCTGGCAGTAAGTAAATTAATGTTTAACAAATATAAGAATTCATAATAAATTACTAATAGCAATTTGCACTCTTATCTAGAGTTGATTCTGCTATTTCAAGACAGCTCCCACCAAGAACAAGAATTTAAGGTGGGATTATCATTATTTTCCTTAATAAATTTAATAAATACTGATGGGTTTCGATCAAGGAAATGTGATTTGTGTTAAAAGTAATATTTTCAAGACCGAAGTAAAGTCACTAGTGTAATTGGTTAAAGTTTGAGCAGATGCAATTTTAAGTCGCCGTTTTACAGAGTAGAATTGATTATAACTATGTTAATCTTGTTCAGACATAGGCTTGATTAGTTACCATTAGGATTTTTGCTATGTATGTATTAATAAGTTAAACCAAAACTGAGGGCATATAAAAAAAAATTGTCACCATATGGTTTAGAATAGAAAGTAAATGGTAAGAAATACAAAATGGTCGTATTTTCATAATTATGCTTATTATTACCTCTTTGGTATGTTAAATATTATCGTTTTCAAATTAAAATGCTTTTGATCCTTTTTGGTAATTTCAATCTTAGTGTAAGACAAAGTCACTTCACGTTGTCTCTACACTGAGATTATATATCTGGAATTTTCTCGATGTGTTTCTTAATTTACTTGCAAATAAGTAGTATTCTGTATCTGCTTTCAATGCCATGTATGTATATAAATTTTTGATAACAGTGCAGGAATAGCGTGGACTCGTGGAGGAGCGCTAGGTGCACTGAAGGCTGCAGCGTTAGGGCTTGGAGGTGCAAACTGTGATGTCATCTACCCACTGGAACATTGCCAGCAATAAAAATAATATTTGAAAAAAAAACTGTCTTCGGATACCAGGCTGCTTTTCAATCGAGTGCTCGAGGTCGCTATAGGAGGTTTTTTGCTAACTCATGGCAAATGCACATTTTGCCTTTAAATAGAGCCGTCTAACAACCAAGACTTGCTTCGAAGGATGGGTCAAAGTATATTTGGCTTACCTTAGATGCCCCGTTCAGACGAGACGCTGAACCCAATCTTGCTTCGCGACCTCCTTTTGCAGACGGGAGAAGACTGGTACCAGCCCTTTTCCTAAACAGTGAACTATCGCGCTAATATAGGCTATGACGGAGGTGTCAGTGTTATTTTTTGTCATTAAACTAGCTTTATAAATATGTATCTCTTTGGTCATTTAATTATTATAGCATCAATGTAGAGTAAAATTTTTTATTCGACAAATTAGTACCTCAGTTAGTATTAATACTTAATGTCATATGATAGCTTTCAGCACAGCTTTTATTCGATGTATAATAATAATTAATAATTTATTTATTGTGAAATGCAGGTTATTCGTTTAAATGTCATTTTAGTTTTATATTGTCTCACCCCATTTTCACCCTTTTACAAGGTATACAATAGAAGTTGCATATGTATATTTAAATAGTAACAGTTCATACATAAATAGAAATTTGAAAAAGCAATAGTCAATTATTTTTAATTACGTAACTATTTCATAATACGTTTAAAAAGCTTTGAAAATTATCACAGCTTGAAAGGTTCTAAACATATTATTTCAATAGCATGATAGTGGTGTTACATTTTTTGGTTCCCTGTAAAAAAGTAAAATTAATACGCCAAAAAAAAGCAAAAAGTATTACTATAAGTAGTGTTCTCATAAGAAGTTAGTACACAGTGTTTTATTTTAATGTTTCGTTTTATTTTTAACTTTTTTGATTAAAATTTTGCACAAAAAACCCTCATTTCTATTTTTAGACTCAAAGTAGTAGTTGTGATTTATTAATTAATCATTGCTAAGAAATCTTGCGGTCCATGGAAATAGTAACGAAAATGTAAACATATTGTTAAAGTAAGACCAATACAAGGTATTAACAGGAAGCTGTAAAAAACATGAAATCTCTTCGGTAGCTCAGTTGGAAGAGCACTCTCCCAGAAATGAAGATGTTGTCGGTTCCAGTCTAGCCTTATCCGTCTTGTATCTAAGACGGGTTTTTAAGGTAAATGTTAAGATGGCATTGTGAATATAAAATTCACAATAATATGATTAATAGTCGAATATTATATAATTGCTCGTTTCTTTATAATACTTCTTGCTCTTTAAAATAAAATTACAAGACACTATTTATATTAATTTGTTAATTTTATAATATATTTAGGCATATTTACAGCTACGTAAGTTAAAATTCTTTTATTATTCAAAAATAAACGAAAATAAAACTTGTTATTTTGGACTTTTGGTATACTTTTTATTATTTAAGCTTTTAGTTAATACAGCATAAGCAATACAGCAGCAGCTTTTTCCACCGATTACATGATTATGGACACATAATTGAGCATGTACTTATTTGTAATCAATAGCCTAAATAATAAAGTGTCTTGCTTCTGACATAAATATTTACTTGCTTCCATGTAAACTTTCAGCAGAGGTTCGACATCTTAACCTTAGTTGATAATACAAGTGTCAAATCATAATCATCATTTGTCCATCGTTATTAAAGTACATGTGAAAGTAGAAAAATGAAACGATATTTCGTATACATATTTATGCCATAGCATCGAGTATCGATGTCATATCTTAAGGCTAGAAATAGCTAGAGAGTTACACAGTCACACTCCTTTATTTCATCACCTCAGGAATTGGATTTCTTTCATCTCTGAACTCTGAAAGCTGCAATTTTTTCAAACTTTCATGTTTCTAACTTTAAAACTAACTCCATAAGGGCCGAATTTCCAAAAGCCTTTTTTGGGATCAGTGAAATAAATGTTTTCTAAAGGGGTTTAATATTTTATTGCTCTTTATTAATATTAATTATAATACTTAAAGTAATTAATATGGACGTGTACGTAATATTATTTTTACATGTCAATAGTTCCATCCAAATAACAATTTATTTTCATAATGTTTTTTATAATAATAATTAAGCAAAAATGCCATAGTAGTTTTTTGAAATTTCTATCTACAAAATAATTCTGTAAGTTAAATATTTATTGGAATAATACTCCTAAAATTGTTATTATTAAAAATGTACAATTATCTTTAGAATAAACTAAACTTTTTTCACTACGTTATGTACTAGTTTTAATGGAAGCCTAATTAAATATTTGGTGTAGAAAGATTTGGAACTCATGCGGTATTGCCGCATGTATATTTTTCGCACTACCATTAAAAATTGTTAACACATTATTACTGTTAGTTCTGTGTGATGAAATCATTATGTATTTAACGTGACTAGTGTATCGAATATTAAATTATTCTCATTGAATTAGTAATAGTTGTGAAAATGTGTCAAAGTCACAGTTACACCTATATTTGTTGACTTTGCCATCTGCCCCCTTACTTTCGAACGCAATCGCGACAGTTCGACTCTTATTGGTTCACTATCGGGCGCGATTGCGTTCGAGAGTAAAGGGGCAGGGGGCCAATTCTACTAAATAAATTTTGTTTAAATAGAATCGAAAACGGATCGAAACTGCACGAAACTACAGTTTTTAATGGTTTTTCTATTCTACTTAGTGACATACGATACAATTCCAGCCAAAATAGACCTGGAATTGTATTGTATGTCACTTTGTATAATAGGAAAACCATTAAAAACCCTAGTTTCGGTTAGTTTCGATCCGTTTTCGATTCGATTTAAACAAAATGTATTTAGTAGAACTGGCCCCCAGGTCAGCTACATTTGTAGAGATCAGGGGTGCGATCGCTTAACACTCTCGCTGGCTATAAAACATGGACTTTACAAATGAGTATATTTATTTTCCTTTATAATATTTTTATTATCTATATTATTAAAACCCCAACGCCCCAATTACAAACTACTCGTTACCTCCCCGGATTTCTCCCAGCCCGGGACAACCAAGCGAAAGCTCGTTATCATTTTTCAGATTTGATTGTTTATTTGTTTGCATCTAACTGACTCCGTAACTATTGGACACAGAAAGCTGCATCATACTCGGGTGACGTAGGCTTATAATTTACACGGGAAACAGCTAGTTATTTGTGTATTTAGCCTAACATTTTAATTTATTTCGGTTTTCTAAATAGTTTTATTGTTAAAATTTGAGTTTATTGAAACTTTTATAAAATATAATAATTGATAAAGTTAGATAAATTAAACCAATAAAACGTTTTTATAGCTATGGCTAGTTTCATATAGCGAGAGTGTTAGGCGGTGCACAACAATATAAACCACAATATAAACATATTTACACGGTACTATTTCCTGTATAAGTTACTCTTCCATTGACAAATTTATCCGATGACAATACAAAATAATCGATCAATTAAAAAGCACTATAATGACTATGTCACGGAAGAGGCGCCGAAGACATCAATTTTTGCTAACATACAAGCATTACATATTGCGCCATTAATTGTCCACAATGATTCATGATGCTATCATTAGCTTATTTGTGTGTTATGGAAGTCTAAATATATAAGTGAAATGATATTGAAAATCTTGTCATTTCTATGAGTCTAAATTTTTTAATCTAAATAAACGAGAAATTATCCATAAATAGAATATGATGTGACGAGATCTAAAATACATCTTATGGACCATTATATACAATTCAATATCAACACGAAATTAGTATCTACATAGTTGTTTCCTATTATTTCCCCTTTCCCGCTTAAGACGCGTTTTTGTTGATTCCCTGTAAAAGCGTCTTTACTCTATTTTTTACCACATATTTTGGATCTCCGTGGTAAGTAGACTCTAGTAATAACGTTTCAATACGTTGTACATGGATTATTCAGATTTCTGAAATATTTTTAATACATATTATTTTTTAGATATGAAAGGCCTATGCCAGCTTTGCATGGGCTTAATTAATTTTATTATTATTTGCTTGAAAATTTATTGTGACTGGGTAGTTGGCAAGGACACTGGTGTGAATACGCAGCCCAAAGGTGCATATCCGTACGGGTTTAAAAGTGAATAAGCTTGTGGGTTGTGTCCGAAGATTTGTCCAGGGAATAATCCCTGTCGCTGCGCTATTTTCAATCTGGAAGTTAACTGTTTTTTCCATTTCGTTCGTCGATTTTGAAACCAAGTTTTAATCTGTACCTCCGTTAGACCTAGTGCTTTTGATAGTTCCATTCTTTTGGATACACTGAGATATTTATCCAGTTTGAATTCTGCTTCTAGCCTTTCTAGTTGCTTCGCACTATATGCTTGCCTAGGTTTTCGTTCGGGCCCGACACGTCGAGGTCTTCTGTTACTCTTGTCATCTGAAAAAAGCAATAAGTATCTAATTTAATTCTAGTTATTTTTATAGACATAGAAATTATCAACAATTTTATCAATACGTAATACATCTATGCATTACTTAGTCAGCAAGACATCAGATTATCCTATAGTATCAAATTTTTCCAATTCAATTTTTTTAGCCTATTATAGGCGATGAAATTTAAAAGTGACTAATTCGTAGCATGTTTATTTACTTGCATTTTTCAAGATAATAAATGGTGGAAAAAACTTGGTTAAGACCAGCTTAAAAGTTGATAAAATATATATTTTTTATTTTACAAATTGCTTCAATTAAATGTTGTGGTTATAAGTAAGATTAACTATTACCTAAGATTAACTAATAAAAATCTCAGCAAAAATATTTTCATGTAAAATGTTGCCAAGCGAATTCCATATGACTCGCGTTGTCAAAAAGTTCGTCTCGTAGAGGCAAGATTCTAACTCTACACGCCCTAACTTTACAAATATTTACTTCACAATCACTACACCTTATTCAAAACATGTGGCTCGGCAGTTTCGCTACCATCAAATGGACATAAGAAGAAAAATTCATTCACCATTCATTTCTTTTCTGTTATACCATAGTTCTTTTTTGCATAAGCAGAACGGCAAAGCCACATGTTTTGAATAAGAAGTAGTAATATATTTTTGCATGCTTTGTATTAAAAGAAGTACCTCGTTAGTTAATTAAAGAAATAAATTTAAAATGATATTTTCATTATATGCCGTGTTCCATGGCCATGTTTGATTGCCACGTAGAACTATAGTGTAAACATCTTGATTACGCACGGTTTAAGTGATAAAAATCTCCTATACAGGAATGCGCTATTTTGAGAAAGAATTCATATTCCTACTCGATATAGGATTGTTTTCAAGTGGCCATAACATTTTTTGAGGTCTGAATCCGTCCCTGAATATATTAAAGATTGCGAAAGCTTCAGTCAAACTACTACGTTATCCATGACACTTTTCATTATCTATGAACACACAATTTACAAAGTAGCTGCTCTTGTTAAAAACAAATAAGCAGTGAAGATTTTTCGTGTTCTAATCGGAATTGTCGCGGGCACTCGTTAAGTGGCTATAAACACAATCTGTGTGTTTACACTGCGCCCGCGCTGACATCCCGAGGCGACAACTTTGTAGTAGAGTGTGCGTCCATGTTAACCGCTTATTAACTATTTACATAAAGACTAGAGAACTTTTTAATGACACGACAATATAAATATACTTAAAAATAACATGTTAATGAATAATTCAATTCAATTCGTAGTCTATATTGTACAAACGTAAATTGAATGTGTGTCATATATGATATAAATTTTTACGATGTGTAGTTCACTATCTGTGGCATTATTAAGTGAAATTTGTATTATGACTCATTAATAGAGGGCAATCATTTTGTAGTGACTAGGTAATATTTATCAAACTGAATTTTGTATGGCAACATAAAATCATAAATATCGTCAGTTTATAATCTTACTAGAGTTATTATAACCTATATAATCTAACCTAAAACTAAGATAAAACAATGTAACGAGACAAATTATAAACTGAAGATGTTGACAATTATATATTTACATATATAAATTATAGAGACTAATTTATTGGTAAACTTTGATTAATAGTAGTAATGTTGTTACGATTAATCTGAAAAGAATTGCATAAATTATGAACTTTGTTATTTCAAATGCAACATATTCCTAAAAATTATATTTAATACTTAAGTAAAACAAGAAAGTAGAGATCGTTTATATATTTTCATTACTCACTGTTAAACCAACATTCAATACATGTTTCAAACTGTGATTTCAAATGGTTAAAACATCATTAATCATTGTGATAATAAGTGCACAACGTGAAACTTCACAGAACTATCATATAAGCAGGGTCTGCGCTAAGGCGGTGGTCAAACACGTGATCTTTGTTGGTAATTATCATCGCGGCAGCTGTTTGCCGACACCTCGGTGCGAAGTCGCGACCACCGGCTCGACAAACCAATTCGTCGAACGTATCTCAAGATGTGTCGCGCGAAACGTCTTGTATTGTGTACTCCGCTTATTAGAGCTTAAGACCCTTGGCATTTTTCACATTTAAAATTTTATTGCCGTAGCGAACGACTGATTATTGAACCGTTTTCAAACAAATATAACCCTAAGTATTTTTTTTAAATAATAAAAGTAGTATGTACTAGTACATACAGTATGTATGTATACTGTACTCTACTTCTCCCTAGCGAGAGTTAAGTGGCAGTATTAGTGTGGAAACGTAGGACATGAAATAGATAATCTATTTAATTATGAATTGTGTTACAAAAATTTGATTGCTTTGATTTTGTATATAGATCAAATAAGGATTCTATAGAGATTAAACCTTCGCTAATTCATCGGTATTTCATAAATTCACTCGTATATTATTTAAGTCAAATCTATAATAATTATAATGAATAAAACAACTAATAGCGTTCTTAATAATGGTGCTGTGGATACAGTAGTAACTGAAGAATGTGTGGTGAAAGAATGCGTTGAGTTTACATAGAAAGTTTGTGTTTCATTTTATACCCACCTATTCCCGGACATGACATCGTTACACTAATAAATTTATAGCCACCGAAATTTTAGTCGAACTCATAGGCAGATTGATATTACTATCGGAGTCTGTACCTATTGACTTATTATTATGATTTTTTTACTAAAATAACTGGCATTATGCAGTAGTAATCTTTAATATTATTGTTGGACTACATCATATACTTCAACCGATCTCAAGTTATATCAGATCGTTGAACTATCCATCTCCAGATAAAAAAGTGAAAATTCACCAAAAAACGCACCGACGAGATCATTTGAAGGCAGTAGTTCTTCTTTGGCATCAGCAGCGATTGAATGTCCATTCATGGATTTTTTCAAGAGGACTTGGCTAAGTCCTCTTGACTTGATTGCAAATTGATCATAAACTGCTGCTGAAATGAATATTTCAGCAGCAGTTTATGATCAATTTGCTTCATAAGTTCTATGGAATTGTCACCTTATTCACCAATCCTAAGCCCGATGAACTGGTCTATCATAGAGGTAAGGTCTGCGATGCCCCATACAGTAATGTTGAATCGCCGAAGACAAAACTTAGTTAAGAGTGGAATAAAATATCTGAAGAGAAAGTCGGAAAATTGTTAGTAGATCTTAGAAAAAGTTCCAAGACTGTCAAATTATTTTGAAAATAAATAAGTATGTTTATGTCAAAACAATTCTGTAAGGAAAATATTTGGAACACACATAAATAAAATATCAACACTAAACTTACAAAAAAAAAATTCTACATTTGTACGTCAACGTATTATTTATTTATTTGGAAAAGGTACACCAATAGTATATATATGATACATTGGAAATTATTGTTTGTTAAAATTAAATATTCTTATATATATATATATACCATTACCGGCATACATAACATTTACTATAGGAACAATAATGTGCATAAATATGATTCCATATCACACTCGCATATTCCAGTATGCTCCTAACTAAAGCGTTTAATTAGTCTCACCGTGATGGATCGGAAGCCTTTCTTTGTTCTTTTGATAAATCCTAGCAAGCCGGCTGCTCTTTCTACTATTGTGACAACAGTGTTCAAATAATCCCGTGTGATTTTAACTTTAACTGAAGTCTGTATATATTACATCTGTTTGTTTGCTACAGTCCATACCCCTCGCAACCTCAGATATAAATGTGGCTAGATTAGTTTGAGTGGATCGGCCACGTCTAAATCCATGCTGATAGTGCACTATCTATCTGTCGTATTAATACAGGGTACACTAAGGACTCGAATAACTTTGAAAATATTGACAAAATAGAAAGATGGTAGTTTTGTACATTGATTAGTTCACCTTTTTTATGTATAGGATGAATTTTAGCCTTTTTCCATTGGTCAGGAAATACGCCACGCGCAAGAAACGATTGAATATCAATGTGAGTGGTAAAGTTATAGCAGATTTACACTATTTAATAAAAATGGGAGGTACACCATTTTGACCCGGTCCCTTATGAAGATCGATATTTTTATTTTTTTTTCGCTACATCGATTTCGATATTTGTATTTCAGATAAATTAATATGTGGTGACTCGTTGTGAACATGGAACAAAATTATGTTATTTGCAGTATAGACTCAAGCAAAATGTCTTGCAAAAAGATCTACGATATTAGAGCCTGATTTAGCAGTAGTATCATTTAGTTTAATTTTTGATGGTAATGTTGATAAACCACAACGCTTCTGTCCAACAGATCGCCGAAAAGATTGAATGTCTTTTAATATGTTGCTTTCGATTTTATTTTTATATTTTTTGTAACATTGATCCAAAAGTATATCAAAGCAGTCACGCAATAGTTCAAATTCCAATTTATCACGGGGATTGTCGTATTTTCGGTATTTGCTACGCAATTTATCCTTTTCAGACAAAAGCCTAATTAAAGTACAATTGAACCATTTAGAGTATTTAGATTTATACAATAGTTACAATAACTATTTCTAAAGCATAAGTTTGATAACGTGCGAAATAAAGGTTCACTTCACCTTTCATTACATACCTTTTTATGACAATGTCATTATACAGAACAGTAATTGGCATAAACTTCATTTCGCAAAAAGATATGAAGCATACACATATATAGCAACATTCAAAACTCATACTTAAAAAAAAAGAATCACGATTTCGCAGAAAGTTCACAGTCAAAATCTATCAGTATATATTTTATATCTACCTACAATGATATTACAATAAAAAAGGATAGATAGGTCACGTCAGTACTCATACTATGTCAAAATTGTCGCCAGCATATTATACAAACGCACATGGCACGATACTCTCCAATTATTCATAGACTATAATTGAACATGTCACAGACCAGAAGTATAATGATTTAATGCATGTTTGATGCCTACTTTTACCTAAACCGGTTAAAAACTTCGATCAAGAAGTCAACTTAAAAATGTTGATGTCTAACATTATTATTTCTCCTTGTCGTTAGTGTGTATATTATTTGCCCGTTTATAAATAATGAAGCTTTTTAAGCGATAAAATAAACCTGATACTGATAATTATATGTATAATAACAGCAGGGCTTTTATCGAAAACAGAATATTTTCTAGCTCCGGAGTTAGGTTTCGATGCTCCGAATTCAAACCTCCGAGTTTTGGAGTCTCATATAGATTTTCAAATAAATGTAAGGGTAGAGCGTGGGCATAAAGTCAAATTACTCGTTCTGTTACTTAAATAATTTTTGCCAGATCTTTTTCACAATTTGTAACCGGAGTATTTTCTCTTTCTATTTATGATACATTATTTATTTTTCTGATTAAACACAAATCAATAAAAAAATTATACTTACGAATTAAATGTGACCACTTGATCTTTAGTCGACTTACTTATGTTGTTTCTACAGTTTCGTTTAACACAGGATAGCCTTTTTAAAATCAACGCTTTCGCGAGACTGCGCTCAGGTATGCTAATTAGCATAGTTTGAAGGTGACACTTGTTTAATTGAAGTAATCTATCTACGCTTTTTTATTGTAATATAATTGTCTACTTATATATTTTTTTGTTATTATAGGTATTTGTTAATGGTGCTTGTCAGCCATAGAACATAATTCTAACCTGTGATTCTAAACAAAACTAATCAAGCGAATGATTGGTTCTTTCTTTTTTATGTTAAAGTACTTGTCAAGAGTATATTATATGAAAACTTGTGTATTTTATGTACCAATAAATCCTCAAAATATTGTATTTTAATAAATAAAGGATAAGAGTAATTATTAACAATTAATTTGACAACATTTCTCTCATTTGCTCTTATAACTTTGTTATAATGAGAGGAATGATAGTTTTAGGGCGGGTGTTATTTAATTTACTTCACTCGAAGAAAAGCTAAGTAAAATGGTTTGATGAAACAAAACTAAAGTACTATACAGATATTAATAGTTATACGTTTTCATACTTATTATTTCTATTCTCAAGGAACTTAGTATTAAGGGCCAGCTTTCCTCAATTGTACAGATAAAATACTAAAGTTCTTTGACCAAATCTCTAGAAATGAATAGAAAGCGTGGCCTATCACGAACTTGTTGGACTGACTTGATAAATAGATTTCAGAGGGCTGCCCTCGCAAGGAACGATGCAAAAACTACTCACACAAGAATTCCCAACTAAATAGAACTGATATCTTTTATATCCATATTATCGCATTGTTAGTTATTATCACTATAGAATTAAACAAAATATGACTCCTCCAAAAAGTAAATTCCTTATAAAGTGATGTATTTACTAACAATTGTCACTTTCTTAATATTCTCAAAGATTAATTTATTGTTTTAGTTAATGTTGTATGCCAAATAATAACATTATCGTTTGTACCCCATTCGCGGCACTATTGCGTGCACGCTACGTGTGAACATTCCCACCCGCCACAGTCACGCGATTACGAATGATTACCGCATGCAACGCACTTATTAAACATCTTCGAGGGTGCCGTAATGGTTCGGATTCTATTTTCAGATACCTGCCCTCTCATAAATATATTTGGTTATTATTCTACTAAGATATATTGCAAATATATTTTTTTATTAGTTTAAAAAATGCTTACTTAATATGTATATAATTGTTTTGTTTTTGTGATAATTTTGTTTAACGACACTGTCTCTACAACTACAATATTACATTATACATACATACGACATCAACGCGTCACTGATACTTTTTGATGAAACTAAATAAAAGAATTAGGCGTCACGAAGTTTAATTTTTTAATACTATATCTTCACGCCAGATCCCTTCTGGATCGAGCACTATAAGTTAAGACTCCCTTCCGTGATATTCATAGCTCTATTAAAACATGTTTCTTAAATCACCTTCTTATGCGCGAGCAACTTGTAAGATGTATTTTGTCCTTCCCTTACTTCTAAACCAATAGTTTTATCCAGAATATTTTTCACATGCCTAATTAAAACCTACATATATATGTAGCTTAACTAGATAGTTTAACGAGCTTTCCGAAAAACTGAGGGCAGACCTTCATGAGAAACTCTCTGATAACCATTATTGTCACGCATTTCCTGGATTGCCTATGTGTCGTTTTCCGGTCTATGATTTATCATGTGTGGGACTTTACTGCTCCAATGGTTATCTGTCCTACGAGCTATGTGCCTTGCCCTTTACCACCTTTGGCTTGCAATTCTTTCTGGCTATGATAACACTTTGATCTCCTCATTTTTTTTCGTTCGTTTTCGTATATCCTTTGTTACAGAATAACATTTAGTGCGTTAATTAAGGGCATGGGCACTAATAATTTGAGGAAGCTCTAATAATTTGACATTTGTAGATAAAAGTGTGTGTCTTTAAAAATATCACATGTTTGTGCGTAAGTCGCAAAAGTTGACTGTAATGCTTTTAAAATTCAAGTGAACGTTTATGTTTGCGATTGTTTAATCTATCCGGGCTCTGCAAATTAAACAAACAGGCACCAATAAAAATTTTACAGTCATAAACATTGCAGAAGTGAAGTAAAGCAAGATCGTGAAATAAATTAGAGAAAGGAGAATGGCAAAATTGGGCCCATAACCAGAATAAACTACTATACATAACTAAAATAGATTTTTAAAGGAAAACCAAACACATTATATTTATTGGGTGTAAGATTTGTTATAATTTATAATACCGTTGGTTTCCCGTTAGTCATGTCAGTGCGAATGTAAGACTGCTTTATCAACTTACTTTTTTTCAATACATACTTCAGTGGCCGAAAAAGGGAGCAGGAGGGCGCGGCATTTGTATGGTTTTGCGTCATGAAATTTTTCAATTTATTAGCCATAGCTTCATCTGTGATTATACTACCTATATACTTTTTC